AAACGACTAGATCAAAGCCACATTGTATAGATTGCAAATCCAGCGGAATCATTGGAAGTGCGCCTGACAGCTTGGGAGATCTCTGGGAAATGCTTGTTGTATTCGATTCAATTGACCCTTCCACAGAAGCACATCGAGGATCGGCTGAACAAGCTGGACAGCGCCCTGGCGCCACAGCTGGACCGCTTCAGGTCCAACGACGTGCCTTGGCCGGCGGACGCCCTCCAGGGCGTCAAGGACGCCTCGATGCGAATGCTCGAGGTGTATCTCCGAGGCGCCCTGGAGGAGGCACGCACCATCTTGTCGTCGGCGCTGCCGGCTCCACGGAGGCGCCATGACTCCATCTCCATTACCAAAGGTAGTGCCGCCCAAGTGGATGTGCAATTGCCAGTTCTTCTCATGCCTGTCCGCAGCTTGAAATTAGTAATTGCCATAAGCTTGGATCAGAATCATCGTGGCGATGCCGTCCAACCCAACTTGAAGAAGTCCAGGCCTGCGACAGTCAGCGTAATGCGAGACATACTGCCAACCATTTTCTGGTATACAATGAATTGGGTCTAATAGACCTGTGCACTGACTTCCCAGGGGCTGTTGAGTTCGCATTCAAATGGCATCAAATTGTCGGTGGCTTTTCTGAAGCCTGCATGTCAGTTTTCGAGGAGCTCATCATGATTTTTAGAGAACACATGAAGGGCGACGAGGCGGCTGGAGCTGCAAGCGGGAATGCAGATGGTGCAAGCGGCAGCGGCGAGCCCAATAGTGAAGGTACAACAAGCGCAAATGGCGAGATAAGCGACCGCGAAGCACCAGCTAGAAACCAGAGCTCCAGAATCAAGGAAATCTGGGGTTTCCTTGCGGTCGCTTGTCTCGCCGTTTGCGCTTGTTGTACCTTCACTATTGGGCTCGCCGCTGCCGCTTGCACCATCTGCATTCCCGCTTGCGGCTCCAGCCGCCTCGTCGCCCTTCATGTGTTCTCTAAAAATCATGATGAGCTCCACGAAAACTGACATGCAGGCTTCAGAAAAGCCGCCGACAATTTGATGCCATTTGAATGCGAATTCAACAGCCCCTGGGAAGTCAGCGCACAGGTCTATTAGACCCAATTCACTGAATACCAAAAAATGGTTGGCAGTATGTCTCGCATTACGCTGATTGTCACAGGCCTTGACTTCTTCAAGTTGGGTTGGACGGCATCGCCACGATGATTCTGATCCAAGCTTATGGCAATTACTAATTCCAAGCTACGGACAGGCATGAGAAGAACTGGCAATTGCACATCCACTTGGGCGGCACTACCTTTGGTAACGGAGATGGAGTCATGGCGCCTCCGTGGAGCCAGCAGCGCCGACGACAAGATGGTGCGCGCCTCCTCCAGGGCGCCTCGGAGATACACCTCGAGCATTCGCATCGAGGCGTCCTTGATGCCCTGGAGGGCGTCCGCCGGCCAGGGCACGTCGTTGGACCTGAAGCGGTCCAGCTGTGGCGCCAGGGCGCTGTCCAGCTTGTTCAGCCGATCCTTGATGTGCTTCTGTGGAAGGGTCAATTGAATCGAATGCAACAAGCATTTCCAAGAGAACTCCCAAGCTGTCAGGCGCACTTCCAATGATTCCGCTGGATTTGCAATCTACACAATGTGGCTTTGATCCAGTCGTTTCATTGGAGTCGTTTCCGCCGGGCTGGGCTCCTTGTCCCGCCCAGGTCCACACACACAATGGACCAATACATTACAACGACATTGTTTGTCCCAATACAACCCGAGGTACCCACAACTTGTGTGCCCAATCGCTTTGCTAGTAGTTAAGCCAGTCCCACACAAGACTCAACCCTTGAGCCAGACCCAGCACTCCTCGTTCCAACGTACTTAACTCCCACACTTGCCCATCTCAACCGAAGCGAAACCCCAGATTTCCTTGATTCTGGAGGTCTGGTTTCCAGCTGGTGCTTCGCCGTCGCTTGTCTCGCCGTTTGCGCTTGTTTTACCTTCACTATTGGGCTCGCCGCTGCTGCTTGCACCATCTGCATTCCCGCTTGTGGCGCCGGCCGCCTCTTCCCCTTTCATGAGGTCTCTGAAAAGCGAGCTGAGCACAGAATTATATATGTAGCCCAGAGTTCTGGGGGATCCGTCTCCCCTTGTCATCTTTAATTCTGTCTGGGGTTTCCTTGTCTCTTGTACCCTTGCTGCCTCGAAGCAGTGGTTGTTTGGCCAAGTATGGTAATATGGCTGGATGCACATGTGCGAGATAGCTACCATATGGTAGTCCATATGAGTTCCCCCATGAGGGATGCCGCGTTTTACCACGAAGGCGCCAGGACTTCGCTGTGGCACTTTAGGAAACGGAACGACCCAGAACCTTGCAGGTCTAGCTGACGCAGAATTGGACTGCACAAATTTAGACCAATCTTGGGCAGTTCCTAGGGCTTCCCAGAAATGTGGGTATGATTTGTTTCTCGAAAATCAGTAAACAAGGACTTTGTGGCCCAGTAACCGTCGATTTTGACATTCTGACGAAATTTCAAGGCGGGTTTTGTGACGAAATTTATCTCTCAAAACGAGGGGAACTAATTTGGGAAGGAAGTGCCCTGGCCAACGGCCGCCCTCCGAGGCGTCAAGGACTCCTCCATGCCAATGTTGGAGGTGTGCCTTCAATTGGAAACGAGCAATTCCCAATGATGAGCTTCTGCCACCCGTATGTCACTCACTTGTTTTAAATTGAAGTCAGCATGTCAGCAATGATTGAAAGCTGAACGTAAATGCAACTGCCATTACCTTTGGTGGTGGAAACAGCGTCACGATGCCTCCTTGGCGGAGGCAGCGCCGATGAGAGGATTCTTTGTACCTTCTCCAGTGCCCACGCTACACGGTAGTCTGACGAATTGTTGTGCAAAAATAGGCGCACACTTAGCCTGGTGACGGCTGTCTCGCCCCGAAGGAGCGTGTGATCGTATGGAGCAGGCTGGCGTGCAGTCTGAGAATGTCGATCTCGAAGGAGCCGCAGTTGTTTGAGACCGAGTCCATTAGAATTTTCGGTAGAGCTGGGTAAACGGAGTGGAGACCAACTGCTCCTCTGCACGTTAAGGGACACCATTTCCACATTGGACACTTCAACCGCAAGATGGTCAGTCCTTACGGTAAAAGTGGTACATGCTCAAGGACTTGGGATAGCAAATATTGGAGTTCAGTCGATCATTTAACGTGCGGCAATGAGCAGCTCAGCCCACGCTGCCTCTTCACGCAATCGAGAAATTAAGACTCCCACCTAACTGGTAACTGAGCTTCAGCTTGGCAGCCAAGGACTACGACTCATCAGTTCGCACACCCATCCCCAGTCGTGTGTCGAACAAAGCTAAAACAACACCACAACAAAACATGTGCATAACAACCATCAATTACAGAACTTCGAAAAGCGCATAGACGGGATCAGCGCAGTTTTAGGGTCATCCAGTGCCCATGTTGACTGCGCATGGGTATCCAATAGGAAGGAGACAAATGCTTGACGGGACACCTACCTTGCCGCTTCCAGTTTCCACAAAATCGCTCTATGTCTCGAACACACAAGGCATCGCCACGGCAGCGTGCATTCAACAAGAGCACGTGTCAGCGATAATGAGGTACAAGCATATTTTTATATGTTGAAAGGCATTTGACAGCGCCCCGTGGTTCTAGACATTCACTGCTCCACGAGTCTCTGTGGCGTCATGGGATCAAGCCCTGGCGCTTCATGTCTTCATACGTCTTCTTGCTGTACACATTGCCGTCCTCATCTTCGCACTCCTCATCAACATCAGGCCTCCAACCACCTTTGTCGCGTCGCTGAAAGCACAACAGCAATGCACAGCATTCTGATTTCAGCCAGTAAATGGCAAACATTGTTGATGACGGTGGCCGGGAGATGGCTTGGCTGTAACACATGTTACGCACTCCAGGAAGCCACACAGTTCTATGGTGGGGTTACACCATAGTGCATGACACCCTTGTGTGTGTGTCCACTTCCAACCTAGCTGTCAGTAGAGGATTGTAATGGCAACGACAAGAATGGGTGTCACCAAAAACTTGGCAGCCATGTATGTGGCCACCGAAAATATCAATGGCTGCAGCTGGGACATCGGTGTCCAGAGAGCATTTATTTATTATCTTGCAACATGTGCATTAAGGGGAAGGGGAATTGCTACCAGCCATTTCCCAAACTCATTCGCGATTGTGACAACCTCCTTCGTGGCAGCACTCGGTGAAAATTTACTCAGCCAGACACGAACGCAATCACGGCTAATGGCAACTTGACATCGACCAGCAAGGAAGAGTCATAAAGAACCTAAACTATGCCACCAGCAACAAGTAAAGCAGACAATGCAGACCGTCCAATGGCCAGGGCTACCTGCATGTTCTCCCACAGAGCAACAGCGTCCTCAATCTTTGTAATCTCGTAGAAATTCTTGTTGTTTGGAATGCCCAAGGCACGCATGTTGTTTTGATGCCTCCACTCTTTGAAGTGCTTCTCAAATGCCCTGCGGCCCCAGTAACTGTAGTTCCCGCAAATTTCGCATTTGAACTCCTGATTGAGTCCATGCAACTTGTACAGCCAATACGGGATTGGCTTCCCATCCCAGCCAAGGGGAAGCTTCAGCGGATTGTAGATGTACTCCTCCTCTTCATCAGTGTCTTCTTCTTCGACCTCCATCTCTGCCTCCTCCATCTCCGCCTGAAATATTTCCAATAGCACGTTGTGACCATGCAAAGCAAACCACAATAACATTGGCAATATCCTCCTCTGTCGCAGTTGAGACATTTCAAGTATTGATGCTGATCCAGACACAGTGGTCAGCTCTTCAACGGCAATTCGCTGCTTCCCTGCAGTCCAGCACGTTGCCATTCTTCCAGTGCCTCGTTCAAATTGTCCTTCTTTTGTGGAAGCCATTGGTCTTGACTTCTTCTCTTTTCCAGATAGCTTCCTGGCATGTTCCTTCCATAAGGTACTTAAGGACAGTTGGGCGGACTAAACTGCAGCCAGCTTCCAAATTACGATTATGATACATGTCCTTAGGAGAACACAGATGTCCTGCTTTCTGGGTTGCCTCTTTGTCCATCGCTTCGACTGTACTGACCCATTGAAACGTCTCAAGAAAGGCAATGCAAGGCTATGAGCAGTCGCAAACACACAGCCTCAAATAATGCTGTATTCCCCATTGACAAAAAGAAATGTTGAACAGCTGACATCGCCCAACCATGAGTCATGTTAACAATTGCTCAGCAGCAATGAACAGTACATGAGAGCAACAAAAAGCGAGCTTCAAACACAAGTCAATCATGCAAGATGCTCTACTCACCTCTCTCTCCCTGACCGTCTGGGTCATCTTCTTCTCAACTCTGCCTTTGGTGTCCTCCAGCACAGAGCCCAACATCTCCACCAGCCGCTCGATTTTGGCCTCAGTGAATGCGATGTAGTATGTGGCTGCAGTTGTCCTGCGCCTGTCCTCCTCTGACACGAGTGCTGCTGGTCGTGAGCCCTTCACAAACAAAGACGGCTCCAATTCCTGCAGTTCCCTGCCTTTGATCTTGAACAGCCGCTCGGCACGCTGTCGAACAGTGCCCCCACACTTTAGTCCCAGAGCTTGCAGGGCTTCCTTTAGACGGTCAGCTCCTGCAAGGCAAGGTGAACAGACCTTTGAGTGAAAGCCACACAAAAGCTACAGGTAGAAAGACTGAGTGCATAATAGCAAGCACAAAAGCAGGTGCTGCACCAGCTGGAACAACGCCTGTCGCAGGCACACGCCCTCCATTGTCCCCGACTGAACCCGGGTACACTGCTTTTTCAGCGAAAATTCTATGTCCAGAGAACTCTGGAGTTGTTCTAACTCCAGAAAGCCTGAACCTCTATTCCATAGTGTGATGGCAGACAGTGCACACGTCAATTGGCCCCACACAGCAAACACATCAGGGCTGTGTTTCTGCTTCAGAAAGCAGCTCAGATGCATCATGAACCCATCAAGTGTAGCTACCGCAGCAAATGCATGGCCTTGCCAAGCAGGGCAAGCTGGCCAACGTGAATGCACAAATGAAAGCTAGTCTATCTCTGGCTGCGGAGGGTTGGGGGCTGCAATAATCCTGCAGCTTTCAGGCAACCCTTTCAGCAGGAACAAGTGACAGAGCCTGACCAACTTCTGTACACTACAGCAAGCTGAAAGTCAGTGAAACTGCCCAAATTGAAGGACACCAGTGTCAGCAAACAGCTGAGCTGCATATACAAATGCTCACAGGCATGCCTTGCAGCACATGTGTGGTTCAAAGAAATGGATGAATCGCTTCCCGGCACGTACCCACAGCCTCCAATCCGTCAACATCAGCAAAAGCCTCCACATCGACAATGCTTGAGACGTCGGGCATGTCCTGTGGTCCCACTCCTCTGTCTTCCCATCCGGGGATCACTCCAGCATCCCAGGCCGGCCTGAAATCATCTTCAAGCTGAAAAAGAAAACAGAAAAGCACATCAACATTAGTTCCAAAGAATGGTACTCAAGGCAGAGCACCCACTGGTGTGACAGCACATTGTCAACGTCCTCGTCCTGTTAAAACACTCTTCAGAAAGCAACGGATGTTGTCTCTGTCTGCAGTGCATGCAGGTGGGAAACACAAGCATCAAATTGAAAACTGCAACTGTGGGTATTGCACATCGGTGCTTGGGAGCAAACACCAGTGCTTGAGTCATGCAAGTTTCGTTGCATAGTCTCAGAGCTTAGCAAGTTCACTATCTTGTCATGCTCGATAGGCAAGCGATGTCCAAAGATCTCCCTTGCTGTTTCGATACCTGTATCAATGCTTTTGGTTTTGAGACAAACAGATCGTTAGCACCAGAACTAAAATTGACAGCACGACAGAGTGACACAAATCTCAATGGCTGTGCATACATATGCGACCCATTCCCATCCCAAACAGAAAGGTGGCAGCAACTGCTGCTTCCAGCTGGCAACAATCAACAGCCCAGCGCAAGTAAAGCCAGTCTTCCCCTGTCATAAGGGCAAAGACAGGGGGCAGGGGAACGTGGCAAAGGCTAGTGTTGCCAGCACCAACCAGATTGAGTGCTGTGGCTTGGAGGCCCGGACACTCACCCACAGCTGTCAGGCAGCTTCGCCAACAACAGGCATGTTGATGGCACAACTCCTGGTACTGCCTGTACTGCCTCAACAAGTCCCTGTCCAAAGAAATGGAGCCCCTTAACCCCCCATCTGACTTTCTACAAGAACACCCCTGATTGACCCACAGATGTGCGCCACTCCCTTTGATGTCTGTTGCATTCGGAATGGGCTCTTTGCATGATATGGCGGCACTGCCCATGTGGACAGCTTCTTGCAAGTTCCATGTCCTGGGTATATCACACAGTGTGTGCAGATCTGCCTGACCACCAGTTGTGGCCGTTCTGCCTCAATTGGTGAGATGCAGCCCTGTGTGCACTAGTTCGTTCACAATAACAGCTTTCTTGCATACTACATAGTGAGACAACTGGATACTATCCCACCCAATTGCCAGAACCGCTGAAGATTTTGTGACTCGATGATGGTGACAAAGAAAAGCCAAAACGGACACTGTATGACAAGCTGCCACCTGACCCACCCTTTTGTATTGCCTTGGGAGGTATCCCAGCGGTTGTGTCCTTTCGTAAAACGACTCCAAGTACGAAAGCAATAGGTCAACATATTCCCTGAGAGCAACCACAAAGAGTCATCATTCGAACACATAACTGCAACAGGGTACAATCAACAGGCACACGGCTATCACCAGAAAGTCTCAAGAGGAGAAAGTCTCGAGCATTCCATCATTTGACATAGCTACACACAGCAGCAAGCCGCCTCAGCTATCTCAAATCCTACACACTAAAACAAGTACAAAAGTAGGACATGCACAATGTTCAAACATATGTGCAGTCCTTCTCCACCAAAAATCACGAGTGCATTTGGCATCAGCTCGCCAATTGTAGCACCGGCCTTGCAGCAATTGACACAAGACTGTGATAGCTGGCTTGCCTGTAGGCCTTCGTGAGCTTGTGTCGTTTTTCCACCGACTCAAATGCAGTGAACGAACTCAGGTATTCGTGGTATTCGACCTGCTGTCCAAATTTCGCGTTGATGAAGCGATTGAAGTGCTCATGGAGATCCAGGTACCGGCCGCTGCACTCCTCCCCGGTGAACTCGACGTGTGGCTCATAGCTAAGAAGGGCTTCGTCGTTGGCAGCCTGCAGAATATTGTGACACCGCAGATCAGCTTCAGCACAAAATGCTTGCCCACTGTACTGTGCAGCGACTCATGCCCGCACCACACCTTTACTGCTGCCAGAAATCCCATCATATCCAAGCCCTAAGTCAATGCAACAGCAGTTTTGGTGATAGAAAAAGACAACACACAGTCTTGTTCAGACATTCGCCAAGCCTGCAGTCAAGGAGGAACACAACTCTGCACCAACAGAATAATGCACTGAACCGTCCCCTTCAGTACAGAAACGAACACAACCCACCTCAGTTATGTCTGTATTTGGGTGCTTCCTGTGGTAATCCTTGATCTCCTTCAATCGATCGTAAAATTTACTGTGTCAGAGCACAAAGACAACATCGTTTCAGTCATGCACCAGGGACGCTTAGTGTTGCAAGGTGCAAGGCTCCGCACTTGTTTTTTAATGGTGAACTCAACAAAAGGGTTTCAGCCGCCAAGTTCATACTATCTGCCATGTGTTCACCTGTAAACACGTTGGGCCTGTCCAATGGCCCAGAGATGATGGCCACAGTGATATGAGATGAACTTCTCATCTCACCAACAACGTCTGTGCAAGCTGGTGACTGGGGAGCCACCATATGTTTTCAGGAAAGCAACCAGGACAAATCACATCAGCACAACTTCACATAGCAATTCAACACAGAAACATGCAAACACAACAGAACGTTTAAGCAGAGACCTGTGTGCCAGTCAAACAATGCTGCACTTCCAGCATTCAGCTCCACTGCCAATCCCAAGTGGAATCTAAGGCAACCAACAAGCAAAGTAATGCCCACCAAAAGCGAACTGCACAGACGCAAGGCCACGCAGTTAGCACCTGTAAGTATTCTCGCCTGCCAACGACGATATCTCTTCCCTCCGGGAGCCATCGAAGTCTTCATAGGTGCGAGCCTACAGCGTCCACAGCGCACGTCAGACAACGGATCTCGACGGTTTTCTCTGAGAAGGCTGATGCGCCGCTGGAGATGGTTGTGACACGCCTTTGGCGATGCACCTGTTGTGATTGCAGGGAGGCCACTACCGCAGCAGGTGCAGAAGCGTCGCCACCGCTGGCTGTATTCCCGGGCACGATCAGCGCCGCATTTCCCAAAACAAAACCAGCCTGCCACCGCAGTCACCGCGCCCAGAGCGCAGCGCTCTGCGAAGTCCCTCAAACTTTGGCCCCCGTCGCCATGCAAGCGCCCTGCTCCGCCTGCACTGTCCCAAATTTCCGCACAGGTCCTTCCGCAATGTGAAGAACACCCCACAAACAATTCCCGGTCACGGAAACCCGCCCATTGTGAATCCTGCCGCCCCTCCCGTTGACGAAACAATCTCCACGGTGACCGCCGCGCACACCCACCAGCTTCGCCGCCCTCTCCTGAATGATGTCCAGGTTCTTCCGCACGCGGTGGTTCTGGTGCAGCTTCTCCTGATGCGTCCTCACCTCGTTCTTCAGGTCCTTGACGATCAGCCGCTCCAGCCGCTCCATGTCCTCATGGGCGCCTGCGGCAGGCGTCAAAGCACGTTCCTGAGATCTGGTGCCTGGATCCGCGCCTTGCGCACTGGCGCGGGGTTCGGCCGTCGCCTTGCGCACCTCGGGTCTGCTCCAAGATGGTCGCCGACATTTTGGGAGACGAAGGAGTGCTCCCCTGGGAGGCTGCCGCGAGCGCTTGCCAGCGCCAAGGTGGTCCTGCTGTTGACCTTCAGGGGGGGTGGCCTGAAAACAACGTTCATCAATCTTCATCATTGAACGGTAGAAAGCGACAGATGGTCTGGCAAAAACACATTTTCCCAGGGAAGAGAAGTATGTAAATATTATGTAAAATATGAAAATCCTCATTTGCAGTTGTCTGCCAAGCGGCGAAATTCCTTGACTGCGGCTGCCACAGGGCTGCACAACAAACGAATCCATTGTGCTTCGCGGCCGATGGCGTTTGTGACACAGGTAGAGCTGCACACTTTGTTTGAACGCTGTTTGTTCAGGATGTTTTATGATAACCACCGATTAGCAGATCGAGTAACTCAGGAGTCATTGGCCTCTGCTGCGAACGGTGTGCAATGCATGGGATTCCCTGGGTGAGCCACTGTTGCATGGAGAATATGAATCGGAAAAGGGAAGGGGAATTTTCAATGTTCTTCACGTTGAGTAGACCTTATGGTTGTGAACGGGGTCAAAGGTGAAATACTGAGCCAAATGCAGCGGAAGAAGCTGCCTTGCTTGCTCGCAGGGCTTTGGTCCCAACTGATCTATCCCCTAGAATCAGCAGCATTTATGGTTTTCTGGAAGGAGGTTGATCTGAAGGCAATAGCACAGGGAGGTGGTCTAGCATCCTTGATTTGCCACGCTCTGCCTCATCGTGCGTGATTAAGGGTGCGAGCTTGAAGGTACACTGACATCCTTGTACATGGATGGACACCACAGTGGAGGATGTTGAAGTGGCTGGTGCTGAGTTCATCTGTGCTGCCAAATTTGACAATGGAACGTGCATGCAGAGGGTGCATATGAATTTGTTGAATTCACACACAACTTGGATTGGAACATGTTGGCAAGAGCTTGGAAGCACGTCAGACTCTGAATCTTGGAACTCTCTCATGTTTGGAAACTCCAAGATATGCAGCTGCCCAGAAGAAATGGCATCAAAGAGCTTGCAACCCGAAGTTGTTGACGTAGACAGTAGCATCCAGCCACCACCAGCGCATTGTCCACAGATAATGGTCCTGCACCCTAGACTATTCCCAAGGGGAATTGGGCAAAATTGGCAGGAAGTTGTGCAGTCAAGGCAATGCCCCCGATGATTCAGCCAAACTGGCAGATGCCTTCCATGGTCATGTGTCTTGCAGGCGACCACCGTGAAACCTTTTGCTCAACATGAGCTTGCCTTGGCCATGAATGCCGCCAGCTCAATCAACTATAATGACCAGTGCCCCATGCCAGTGTCCACTGTTAGAGGCACTTTTCTTGGTTCAAGTATGCCCAGTTCCAACTGCGGTGCTGGAATGTACTTGGCATGTGCTGGTGTTTCCCAGGACAAGTATCCTCTGAGCGCCTGCAACAGCAAATGGTGCTACTCTGATTGAAATAAAGGTAAACACATTCCTTGACACTTTCTTTGCCAGCACCAATGTCCTGCTTGGCATTCTGTGTTCCCATCAGCTGTGGATCCGCTGCTGTTGTTCAGACAATCACTACAAGCAGATGGATCCCTTCTCATGATTGCTGTTGGCCATCAGCTGGGATGGAAAAATTCTCAGCAACATCTATCAGCCAATCCTCTTGCACAACCTGGGCATTTGAATGGCCGCTTCTAGGTGCTGTCGCTCCCTTTGCAACCACAATCATACTGGCAGACCTCACGGCCACCACCTTTGCACCAAGTGCCACGGCAACTCTTTGGAGTGGCACCAAGGAAGCCCTTTTTGTGCCACAGTGCACATGCACAGCTGTTCCATGCAGTGGTTTCTTCCCACCCACATCCTGCAGCACAGCCCTGGCCCACTCTGCTGCCTGGGCGAACTTTCCAGCCTTAATGTAGCCATCCTCGCTTTGCCATTCCCCACGGGCAACCGAGTCTGCCAGCCAGCTTTCATCCAGGAAATGGGCCCCATTGGCGATGCCCAACAGCACTTTCAACGTACGCCTGTTGTTCCCAAGGACAACGTGAGTAACCCTGTCGTCCTCATAGCCCTCTGTGCAGAGAGATATCCCCTTCAGCGACCTGGTGGCATTCCTTGCCATTTGCAACACCTCAGATGACACCGAGCTGCATGTGAGACACCCTTCAGGACTGCTTCGTGTACGCTTCCTCTGATGTTGATCACTTTCAGGGACTGGAACCTTTGAACACTGGCGTTTGCTGGCACGCCCTCTTTGGGCCCTAACAGGCTGCGGGTGTGCTCTTGAGCCCTTTGCAGGTGCCACATTCTGCTCCTTGGCCGGCACGGCACCAGACTGGCTGCTGCATCGTCCAGCAGGCCTAGTTGCCAGTCGCCTTCTTTTTGTGGGACGGCTGTCCGCGCCTTGCACGCTTTGCGATTTGTTTTCTTGATGTGATTGTTTGTGTGCAATTCTTAAGGATGCCCTCCTCCCCCCCAGCCTGTCGTCCTCTATGCTCTTTGCACACACCTCAGGTGCCTGTAGCCGATTGTTGCCATCGTTCCTCCATACAGAGTCACCCATGGTCTCATTTGTGATGCTCTGTTGCTTGTGGGCATCCACTGCCGTTGTGCCACAGCTAGGCGTCCCAACAGCCACAGCTCTCTGCAGAGCGTCCGGCCCCTGCTCAGAGGCCCGGAGTCTTCTCAGAATCCGTTCATGCAGTCCCATCCCCTCAGGGGGACACTGCTCCACATCTGAACAGGAAGGGGGCGGGGTCTGCAGAGGCGTGCAGCAATTCTTGACAATACTACATCCAGTTTTCCCGTCGAGAGCTTTGTTGCATGGCTCCAGTGCATGCTCCATTCCCACTGCACAGATCCTGGGATTGGGCTTCTTCTGCGCAAAACTGCGACCGCGACGAACTGTACATGGAAACGCAGGTGGATAGCTAACTGAGGAATCTCTGTCACCATGTCGTTTGGCCTGCTGACCGCAGGATTGCCCCACATTCTGCATGACCACACCCTGCTCTTGGGTTCCTTTTCTTGGCACAGCCCTTGCAGCCCTGTTTGGCTGCCCGCGCACTGGCCTTCCTTTTGAGCCTGGAGTGTGCTTGGACTTTTCAGCCACGTCCGCATGCTCTGCCAGATCTTGGTCACAAACACAATATATATCAGCACTGCAGTCGACTGAAATCAATATCAGGGGTGTCCCACACTTCTATTCTGTACCAGACGATTATGCACACATTCAAGCATTCACACCCATTGTAAGACACAAGACGCAAAGAAAAGGGGCCATTGGAAAATGAGGCGCAACAGGATGAAACTGGTTGAAGAAAGGAAATGGAGTTACAGGAAGGAGTTGCAGCCTAGTTTGCCCAACTCACGGCCAAATGCAATGCATTGCAGCAAGCTTAAAACAGAGAAGTGGATGTGCACATAATAACAACGTTCACGCATGTGCCACAAAATACTAGCTATTTGACAATGGTGTCCTGCCAACATATGAAAGCAATCACCGGTGGACAGCACTGGGCAGTTGGTTGTCATTTAACCAAGGTGTACATCAAGGATAACCCCTAGAATGTGCCATGTGGCCCATCATTGGCTTGCAGGTGCTTTTGCAAATTTCTGTCAGCATGTGACAGGTAGGGATGTGCATCACGCCATGCTCTCTACTCACTGGAGCCAATGGTGAATGCAGAAGAATCGAACCCCTGTTTGGAGCTTTTGAAGTGAGACGCCAGAACGTCAGCTGCCTGCTGGGTCAGTGGCCCTGGGACATTGTCAAATTGATACACGTTGTCCTCCATCTCCCCTGATGCAGTGGCTGGGTTGGGCAATGGTGTGACAGTGGGCTGCTGTGGCAAGGGTCCTGCATTGTGGCAGCAGATGTTTCATAGTTCCCAAAACGCAACAAAGCAAGTGGATTGATAGAGGCATTAAGTGCAGTTGGAACCACAGCAGAAGCCTGCTTCATGCTGGACTTCAGTTCAGATGCAAGGAGGGTTGAAATTTTAAGAGATTCAGACACCATCCTGTAGCCAATGTGCTCAATTTGATAGGTTGCTGTATTACAAATGTGCAAACACGAAAGAATAGTGATGAACTGCACAACAATTCACGCAATGTATGCAACAAGAAAGGCTTGGGTCTCGTTTGTGGGTCGCAAGTCAAAATCAAATGGGATAGCTGTCAACAAGTCAGGTCAAATGGGGTTCTTCAACAGATCACTAGGACAGCACTTCTGGACCAGCAATGTGATACAATGCATCATGTACCATCAGAATCTTTTTTTTGACAAGTTGACAAATCACTGGAGCCAAGGTACACTGTGGGCGAACTGGCTGCCCAATGTTCGCCCAACGCAGGCCAACAGATTTTGAAAGGAGGGGCCATCGATGGCACCACAGAACTCTGGTCCTACAAACACTGTGGAGGGAAATTCACTGCACAAACAGGCGGCTGCACCCTGTGCTTACGAACGTCCAAGATTGCCTTGACACCAACATGTTCAGTCCTCTCAAGGGACACTACAGATGCCCTACTCTGTCAGCACACCTGCATCCAGTGCCTTCCTTTTCTTCACCATCGTTTGGGCCATTCTCGTCACCAACGGAGTTGCTTCTGGATACGGCAGCTTGCCGCCTTTGCCCCTCAGTGGGCCAGTTAAGGAGTGCGGACGGCGGCTCCTTGGCTTCTTTGGTTTCACTGACGAAAGAACACATCACCACATTGTCACATCATTCAGACCTGGCCATGTTGATCCTGGGACAAAACTGAGTGGCCCGACGGTGGACGAAGGGAAGGACTTACCTGGAGTGGTTAAAAACTCGTACAGAGAGACTGGCGGCGGCCTAGGCACAAGGTGGTCGTTCTCCTGCAAGTCACATCTCTTTGTGAGAGTTCTGTGGATCTGGGGCTGCTATGCAGTGGTTGCCTTCAGTGGCTGAGAAAAAGTGGGACATACACTCTGGACATATCACGGATGGGGCATGACTGGTGTTGTCGAAGCCTTTTGCATAAAGGATCCTAAAATTGATGGCAAACTCTCTCTCCTGCAGGTCACGTCCAACGAGACGTTGGTTGGCGCCGAGCCGATCGAGCCCGCCCGAAGCAAGGCAGCTGAATTCGCAATCGCTTTTGCTCATTCAAGTCACTCACGTTTGCCTTCTTTCCCTCCCGCTCCGATGCTGAAACCCACGTGACGGACACAACCACGGGCCTCGGCTCCTTTTGCTGCGAGCACAGTCGCGGGCCGTCAGGGGCGGCGATGCCAAACTCCATGCCGCTAAGGTGGCAGCCAGATCGACCGCCGCCAAGACTTGCGCAGTGGGCTGGGGTGACAAAAGAACAACGAGCAGCGGGATACCCAATCGCGCCCTGTCCCCGGGCCTACGTCCGACACCCTCGACACTCTCACATCCCTGCCTTCGTCAATCCCGATCGGCCTCCGATCTTCGCGATCTCGATAGCACCGCCCCGCCCCCGTGAGCGCCCTAGATCCCAGTCTCCCCCTGCCCCCATCTCGCTCTTCGCCATGCCTGTGTCTTGCCCCTTTCTTGTTGTGCGCACCCTACATCGTCTGCTCATAACATGGACAAACTTCCCACGCACACTGGCACAAGATGCGCCGCCATTTGCATGATCTTTTCCTTTTCGTTCTGCGACAAATGCCACCCTCATGCCCCGCCGTCGCCCCACCTGGTCCACCTTCTCGAACAGATCCCGCAGCGCCCATTTCTCGATCTGCGCCTGGTTGTCGGTAGCCTTGGGTGTGCGATTGAACACGACGTGCGTGCAGGTCTTGCTGACGCGCGAGGCCACCCGCGCGCCCAGCCGCGACAGGGCCCAGATGATCGCCTGCCGCGCGTCGGCGTCGCCGTCGGCGCGCAGCGGCACGCAGGCCACGACGCCCGACAAAATTCGCGACGCCGATGCCGGGGGGGGCATGAGGCGCCGTGGCAGGGAGCAGGCGGGGAGGGGGCTGGCCATGGGGCGCGAGAGGGGCGCCCCGAACGGAAAAGCGCCCAGCGCGGGCCACTGCCTGAAGGAGGACGGGGGCACTGTGGATTGGGGGATGGCGGTGCGGGGGGGCGCCAATGGGGAGAGGCGATTTCTGTTTGGGCGGTGTTGAAGTTTGTTCTGTTCCTTTCCCATCTCACCCTCCCCCCGTTGTAGGTACGCTCAGGGCTGGCTGTGAACGACTGAACCTAGTAGTTCAGCTTGCGCCCCGCATTCATGGGCCCGCAGGCACGCAACCCCCGACAGGGCCGCGACGCGACTCCAGCGGCCGACCCCCCGTGGATGGACGTCCACCTGCAGGTGCGTGGCCTCCGTCGCGTCATCGACAGCCGGGTCATCCTCGCGGACATCACCTTCGACCTCGCCCCCGGCGACATTCTCTTCCTGCGCGGCCCCAGCGGCGTGGGCAAGTCGCTGCTCCTGCGGGCGGTGGCCGCTCTGGACCCCATACAGGTGCCCCCCATGCCTCCGCCACGATCGTGGGCCGATGCCCAGACCAGGCTTGAGCGTGCCTCGTTGTTGTCGATTGTCGCCGGCTCGTGGGGCGTCCGATGCGGCCCGGGGCGCGAAGGGCATATTCGCGGTTCGGCCGGCGCCCACTGGCCGCCGGCGTGTGCTCGGCGTGGAATGCGTGCCCAGGGGAGCTGTGGCCGGATCTCGAGATCGGGTTCCGCGCTTGGCGTTATGATTTGGTGGGCGCCGGTGAGGGCCATGACCGCGTCAGTTTGAGGGCCGAGGACCGCCAATTGCGACAGGCGGGCTCTCCTTCGTGAGGATTGGGCTGTCGGGATGCCTGCGATTGGCACGTTTCGGAACGGGGGTGGCTGGTGGCGCGTTGGCGGGGTCGAGGGGAAGCGGGTGGCGGCCGGCCGTGTTGTTCGGGTGGAGACACTGGATGGCAATGCGCATTGGCTGGGAGTCATCCGGAATGCTGTCAGAGGGCATGGCGCCGCGCGATGCAATGTTGTGGTGTCCAAAGGCTTCTTAATCAGTTTGCAGTCCGTATGAGTGCATTGAACGTTCTGTTGCTGCTGGCCGTTTATCTCTTCCGCATGAGCGATCCCATGTGAACATGTGCTCGGGAGCAAAGTTCTTCCCGGGATTGTGCTATTCATTGCCCCGAATATACAAGGGCATGGTCTTGCGCTGGGCCTCTGGATTTGAACAAGCGTTGGAGAAAAAGGGCCTTCATTGCCTTTCGATATGAAGACGACGCCTTGTCAACTCTTCACAACGCAGCCGAAGCGATCGAAGGCAGTATTTGCTCTGTTTTGGTTCAAATCTGGTCTAGAGACTGACAGCTTGCCTTCTCTTCTTGTAAAAGTCGTTGGCTGAGTTCGCCTCTGGGCCGATCTGCCTTTGTAGGGTGGCTCCGTAAGGTGCAACAACCAAACGCCCTCCGAATTTGGTGTTCCAGATTGGAGGTCTCAAATCACGTACGTCAGTCAGTCGCGAGTGAACCTGACAGGCACCCCTGCAGAGCTGTATTTCTCTGCTCAGAAGTTTGCTGCCCAGAGAGGCCGGCAGCGAGGCGACCTGCCAGACATATTGTTCCAGCTGGGCTTGGAGCAGCTTCTCCTCAACAGGAAGTGGGGCGAGCTGTCGGTGAGCATGCGGAGGGAGACGTGTTGGGCAGTGGCGGAGCATGTGGGCTTGCATAGCGTGTGTTAGCCAGCAGTGCATTGAGTAGTTGGGCATTTATCGTGACCAGCACAGGTCTGGGCAAGTGTGTGTGTGGGGGGTGGGGAGGAACAAAAATTGCAGGCTGCGCAGCATATCTTCTAGTGTACTGGTAGCAAGCAAATTCCTGCTGTTCATGCCGTTGGAGAACTCCAGCTGTAACATTGAATCATCAGCCCCAAGCTAATAATACTGGAAAGCAGGTTGTTGAAGTGCTGCTGGAGTCAATGAAATATCAACTGGACGGTGATCGACCTGCTGTGATTGTGCAGCCTGTCATGAACATAAGCATGCTCTGATTGTCATGATCGTGGTAGTCCAACAATGGATTGCATTGACAGATTGAGGATGAATGTTGGTGGACATAGCTCTGAACCTTTTGCTTGCCTCCATTGAATCAATCGCATTGGGTGGGAGGGGAATGTGCTGTGCAGAAAAATAGGAAATTCAGCAGCATGGCTGCACAGACATTCGTTGTGGGAAGGTGTATTCGTTCTCTGTGCTCTGGCCATCTCAGATGGGCAAACCTCTCCATGACACAATGTTTGTGCCCCATCCAAGTGACTTGTGGTGCTGACTGCTTGAAGCCTTTGCTGATGCAGGGTGGCCAGGCCCAGAGGGTCTCTATTGCTATAGCAACAGCGTTGAAGCCAGCAATTCTCCTCTTGGACGAGCCCACAAGTGCCTGCGACCTGGAATCAACCCGGAGGTGGCCACCACCCGTTTTCTCATTGTTTTGCAAACTGGTGCAGGCACTGAACAGTGAGCAGTGGACTGAAACATTTGGTCTGCCTGTTTCCAACGGAACACAGTGATTTTCCCATTCAGCAGGATGTGAATTGCAATTGACATCCTGCAGCTGTCATATGGTTGGTTGCCTTATGTGGGATGCATGGGAGTAGAGGAATGCTCAGAACTTTGCAGAAAGGCAGGAATGAAATGCTGCTCTTAGCATCTTCTGGAACAGCTGTGCTAATCAGCAGGGGCCATCCAGGTTTATTGAGCGATTGCCATTGCCGTGACATGTGTCCTGTGCTCCCCAATTGAAGTGCAAAGCAAGACCATGTGTTGCACGATGGTGGCCCCATTAGCATAGTCAGAAACGTTGGAAAGACCCCTGAGTTGTGGTGCAGCATCTGCACCACAATCTTCTCTCCTTCCTTTGTGAATTGTGTGCTCCTGTATCTCAGGGTTGAGGAAGTGGTTCGTGAATGTGGTTCAGCTGTGATCTGGGCGACGCACGACCAGGAGCAGCCTCGGCGTGTTGGTGGCAAGATCCTGGACCTCCCTTTTGGAACAATCTCCACGGTGCAGGTGGAGGACCAGACCAACCCATCGGAGGCGGAACCCAGCACACCACCACCTATCTCCACACACCACTCGTCTTCTCCTGGGGCAGTGCACGATAGTGGCAGCCAGAAGCTTCTCTGACCGCTCAGCTTGCTTCAGCTGTGACACAGCTGTCCTCACCAGGGGGAAGCGGAGCAGATCTGCTTTGCAACTGCTACCTGTGAGGTGGTACAACTTCTGTTCTCTCAGTGACATTGAAGGGCTGTCCACCTGAAGGAAAGGTCCAGGATACGGCATTTGCATATTTTGCGGCGGCACAACTTGATCACAAGCACAGAAAATTGTGACTAGCATTGCCATGGATGCTGAGATCGTACCAGATTCGCTGGGTGTCATGGACGAGGGCATGTCGGACAGAATTGAATCGTCCGAAGACAAGTGCGTGGAGCCAGTGGATGTGGTGTACTGGAATCTGCTCCTGGCATTTGGCCTATACTTGACAAACTGCCTCATATCTGTGTACATGTCACTGGGCCTCAACAGGACGCTCATATTTGCAGGCATCCGGTGCGTAATCCAGCTCATGGTGCTTGGCTACATCCTGGTACCGCTGTTTAAAACGCATCACTGGTACTACATTGCGGCGTATGTTGTGTTCATGCTGTGGGTGGCTGCCATCGAGGTGATGTCACGGCCTTCTCATTCATATGCGGTGAGTCATCTTGATCAGCCCCTGGCTGCAAGCTCTTGCTTTGCAATGTTCACAAGGGCAAAACCAGACATCATTTGTTTCTTGCAATTTTCCAATAGTGACAAATATTGGACTTGCACTTTTATGCCTATATTGGGAACAGGGGCCAAGGATTGCTGAAAAGTGAAAGTTTGCCGCATTTTAGGGAGTTGAGCACTCTAATGAAGGGAATGGAAGGTGCACGATTGCTTGCCCTTGATCCTTGTAAAATCCACTTTGTTGCCTTGTCATAGTATAGCAAAACAGTCTTGCGATGCAAGGGTTTAGCCACAACCTTGAAGTGTTCGATCGAACTGTATTGTTCCTGTGGAACCAAAGTGGCCCAAGTTGCTGCCAAAGACCCCGCTGATTGTGATCAGAACTTGGGTTGCTCTGAAATAGGGATGTCGGGGAGACATGCTACCTTAGGCTTCTAATCAAGTGAGAAAGAATGATGAGAGCTGCACAAATGGAATGCACCTCATCCTGCAGGACAATGCATCTTTGATTCCCCGGTTCTCTTCCACCCTGACCTCCTCACCTAAATTCTGTAGTTTAGCTCTTGAGTTTCAGGCACTTTTGTGTCGAAATATGCATCTCAAGACCTCCTTCAGTCTTGTCGCTGCAGCTGCTCTGGACACAGCTGGGCATGCCATGGACAGGAGAGCGTGCGATAATGTGTTTTGTTATAAATTTTGTAGGAAATCATCTCCATTACAGCAATGCATTGGATCAGTACCACCTGCACACATGTCAAGTGTGTTTAGTTACAGCAAACCTACCGGTCCGGCCCGTTGATTTTCTGTTGCTGTGTTTCCACAGGGCATGCTGAGTCACATCATTTTAGCAATCACCGCATGCACATCCACTGTCCTCATTTATGGGATGCTGCTTGTGATCCAATGGGGCACAGTGGAGCCGCTTGGTGCCAGTGACCTGAAGTGGTGGGCACCGCAATACTTCATACCCATAGCAGGGATGCTACTGGGCAACTCGCTGTCAGGTATCAGCCTGGGCCTGACAACTGTTCTGCAAGAACTTGCAACAGGTGGGCAATGTGGAGCACGCTACGGGGATTTCAACTGAGCAAAGCTCCAGCTGCACCAGATATTTCTCGTTGGTGGAATGGCGCTCCTTGCTAACCTGCAGGTGTTGTGTGGAAGTCCGGCTTTGGCAAGTCTTGCAACTAAACAGCATTGCTGGTTGACAATTTCTTTCAACTGCAGCTGTCAAGAAATGTACGAACTGCTTCCCTGTACTGAAAACTCAGATTGTCTCCCTTTTCAGACAGGATTGGTGCACTTCATGCCCTGTTCAATGGACGATGGCTTATTGTTGACATGCCTTCACCACCAGCTGAACTGATCTTCCCTGCATTCCACATGGAGCACTAAAACTTCTGAGTCACATTTTGTACACTTGCAGAAAAGCTAGGATTCAGATTCTTAGATAGCCATCTGAAACAATCTTGGACCAGATATGAACCTGGCCAAAGAATTCCAAACTTCCCTGCAGCTCAAGTGTTTGATGCTCATAGTACGAACATGTTGTTTTACCTTTATATAGGCAAGGATCGCGTGGAAGTCCTGCTTGCCGTTGGTGCCACCCGCTTCGAGGCAACAAAAGGCGTCGTCCGCCAAGCCCTGAACACCGCCCTGTTGCCGATGGTCAACCAGATGAGCGTTGTGGGTATCGTCTCAATCCCGGGCATGATGACTGGTCAGATCCTGGCAGGATCGCCGCCCTTGCAGGCAGCCAAGTACCAGATCGCAATACTGTTCATGATCAGCACGGCAACGGCCCTTGGGTCCATTATCGCAGTGTTCCTTGCAGTGATGTACATTGTGGACAGCCAGCACCGGTTGCGTTCAGATCGGCTCCGATCGCGGAACAGACCTCCAGGGATCGAGGTTTGGGCGATGGTGAAGGCGATATCGGTGCGTTTGTCCTCGCATGTTTGTCTTATGGCCTATTGTTTGCAGAAGCATGGCTGAATTGGTCCAATACCATGAGTTTGTGGCATTACATTCTCTCCACAGTGCAAGCGCCGTGCAGGGTTCTGTCCCCCATCCCCCCTTCCTCCCTCCCCACATGGTCTGGCTTTGCCACTGAGAAACTTGGCTGATGGGCTGTACCATCATTGCTCAATGCACGCTGGTTTTGATATGCCCAGAACCTTCATGCAGATGTGCCACTCCGGTCTGGTTAGTATGCATGCAATGCCCATTTCATGCTGCAGGCATGTGATTTGTGTTGTTGAGCGTGTTCTGTGACGTGTCCTGCTCACAAGTCAGCATTGAGACAGCACTGTGCTGATGTGGCCACAGAACCCCTCTGTCGTGTTTGCACTAGTTGTACAGTGCTGCCTGTGGACCTCCATCTCATCAGTGGCGGACCATTTGGTGACACAGCAGCCGCTTTTGCGATTTGCATGCGAATGCCCATGGAACAGGTTGAGAATGCCAACATATTCCGCCCTCTCCATTTAATTGTTTGTGAACACGTCGACACATGTCGGCCATTTCCGCAGGGACCGAGGTCCTCTACGGTCTCTGTTTCAAAGTTTGCGCCACATTCACCGCCCCGTGCTTCTGTGTGTTCAGGCTGTCGAGAGTGTGAGAAGTTTTGGCAGACGAATGTACAACATCAGGCGGCGCAACTGGTACTCACAGGCTCCCAGCCTGAGGAACAGGAATTGGATGTATGTCCGTGCTGGCACTGACAACCTGGATGACAATAGGTTTGGGGCGCTGGTGGGAAGTGGCGACTTGGGGAGTGATGACGTGTTCATGGGCAGCGTTGACGGGGGACTTCAAATGGAATTGGAAGGAGAGGGTGCGGTTGTCGTTGAGGATGGGAAGTTGGGCAAAAAGTAAGCTGAAGCATGGAGTTGGGACTCAAGAGGGGGCAGCAAATATGGGTCTGGGAATGCAGGGCTTGAGACAATGGGTGTGCACTTCTGTGGTCATGCTTGGAGAGGCTTAGAAGCGCAGCAGTTGTTTTGTGTTGAATGGCAGCGACGGGCGCCATGGAGAACTCGTGAGCTTGCGTTTGCCTGAGCCGGCTTCACCGCTCGCAGTTTGCTGTGGAGGTGTATTTGTCATGACGTTTTTGCGGCATCAGCCAGGATGGCTGCTAAAAATCTTGGCTTGTAGATGCTGTTGGTTGGAGCTGCGTAATGTCATACTTGGAGTGTTCTTGATGTGTGCGTGGAATTGTACTCTGGGCTTGCTTAATCCCAACAGTTGCCCACGTTTTTGTATCCCAACGCTTGCCTGCTTTGTTGTAGGATGCGTGGTGCATCCTTAACGAAAGACGGTATCTATCCCAAGTTTTGCCAACCCTTGCGTGCTGTCCCAACAGTGAAAAGCCGCGGGTCGCCTGTGGACAACATCCGTCCTGAAGTCTGCCACACAGTTCCACCATTGTTACGGCACATCCTTGCCTGGAAATGATGACTGAATGAAGAATGCGTCCATGCAGCCGTTGTCATGTCATGCATGGGTGCACAGTAGGAACACAGCAACACAGCACACAGCGCCAGACGTACACAGCACCCACACAGCGCCAGACTCGACAATGGTCTACAACGACCTTGCCAGACATGGCTATGGAAGCCGAAACCCACACACCGTCAAGGGACACTAAGATACACCAGCATTCCCTCCCCACGCGTCCCGCCAACCCTCTCTCCCCCTCCAGCGCCAATCTCAGCCAGCAGACGGTGTGGAGCGTCCAGCAGTACGACACCAAACGTACCAAAAGCAATACGGCGTTGTCCTTTGAGCTCGACGTTGCCTGGAACTTGAGTGACAGCAAAGGAGTCCCATCAACAGGCTCTAGCATGTCTATCTGGAGCAAATTGTGACGCAGGATATGTGTCGCCATTTCCAACGCCTTTCAAATCAGAAGCTCCAGGCACAGGTCTCCCAGTTTCGTGGCTCCAACAAAAAGCAAAAGGACGGAACGGCGAAGGTAGCCGGTGGGCGTGGGTCAGCCCCTAATAAATTTCTTTGTAGGGGAGTGATTTGAATTGTGGTGTGACACGGATGTGCTCCCATTTAAGAAAGATTCAAAGCCTTGATATAGATGACATGTCATATAGTGATACAAGTCTGCCAACTTGTAATGGTAGATCCCATAGACGTATCCAAGCACGCATGTAAAAAATAGGGCAACAACATCAACATGACAATATGGAGCCAGGGCAGTGCAAGAAAGGGAAGTGAAGGGCGCTAAGTGAGCGACCTGTACCGAACCTTAAGCGACACCGTGTGGCGATTAATTGCCGTCATCATCAAGTAATGTTCATTCTCCTTGAGGCACGGAGCGAGGGGGTGTGGGTAGCGCCGGGTGCAAGTTGAGAATTGGTACCAATTTCGGAGTCCTGTTTCCTACTTGGCTTGAGTGCCCAGGACGAATGGGAGGACTTCCCGCAATGCGGAGGCTAGAGAAGTTTCGGACAGCAGCTAGACTGACCTCTGATGGGTGGAGCAATTGCCAGGAACGGCCAGCGACCCAGAGCTCTGCCAGCCTGATCCAATTGATCGAGGAAGTATCAAGATCGCTGTTGGAAGCAGGTCTGGCCTTTTTGGGATCGCTGTGTACGAAGGCGCCAAAAATGACGAAGACTTTCTGGCTCATAGATGCACGATTTATTCGCAGCAGGTTAGGGCGAAGTGTGATGTCATTTCTTTTCAATTTTCTGCCTCAGGCAGATGTATTTTACATGGGTCTGTGGCGACTGACAGCCCTGAGAAGCGACCTGTTACGCACGGAAACATCAAGAATCTGGTCAAGAGTTTGGTCCTGAAAAGTTAGACTTTTGTTGCTGATGCGCTGGGTGTGTTTATCAGTCTTTTAATTCAATTAAGGAGCATCACTGGGCTGATTTGTGGCATGGCTGCGACGTCACAGCGTTGTTCCTGAGCAGTACATTGTAGTGCAGGAAAAGGGCAGGCGGAGCCGTAGCTGTGAGCGAACATTCCTGCGAATCTTTAAGGTCGTGGCACAGATTCGATTGTGGTGATGCGAGTGTGCTGGAAAAGTGACGGAGGAGTGAAGCGATGGCCACCTGAGTGTCGCAAGGGGGTTATATGAGGAATAGAAGAGCATGCTGTGAGGTTTGCAGAAGCAAGCTCAGATGTAATATGAATAGTAGAGTATGAGGCGCAAGGAGAGTGAGAATGATGTGAACTGCCATGCTTGAATGTGACCTGATGGAAATTGTATAAGATTCGATTGTACTGCCCTTTCTGACGTGGCTAGGGTATTTGGGAATGGCTGCTGTGCCCAGTGTCTGAGGGGCTGAACGGACGGATCATAGACTATGGCATCGACCGGGCCACTATGGTCCACAGTCCGTGAAATTGTAAGCCCTCAGTTGTTATTCTCCTCGTGTGCCACCCGTGCGCACAGGCCGTGGCGCGCAGCCCAAACAGATGGGCTCCACAGCCAAGAGTTTGAGGTCTCCTGCGCTCGAATTTCGGCAGAGCTCGCCCATTGCAATCTTGCCTTTCGAGTGCATGGACTTCCTAGCGATTCTATGAGAGTCGAAGCGGCTTTCCGCGTGTTTCTCACCCAAGGCCTGGATTTCTGTGCGATCCCGCAGGTTCAAGACCAGGAGGCCCGTACAAGCCGGGTTCTCCGCGGCGCAATCGCCGGAGACGTTGTTCGCAAGGGAGCTGTACGACCCTAGATTCGTCTCCTTCGACGCAAATCCAATCGAGCCGAAAGGCAGGACAGGCGAAGGCTTGGCGCTTTGTGGATTTTCGCCCGTGTGGCTGCCATGTCAGGCGGCCATCTTTTGCACTGGAAAATTGCCAGGACGATTGATACATGCAAGGGGACTACGCCTTTGCGAGGGCTCAACTAACGTGGTGCCGTTACCCTTTGAGATAAGCGAGGCGTTGTGCAGCTGATTTGGGACACTTGGGAGTCTCAACACGCATGGCAAGTTCGCCACGAACACTTCCAATCAACATGCCGGGAGGCTAACTCTTCACAAATCCAGCCGCTCAAATGCAAAGGTCCGTTCACCTTTTCTGATGCCACCAAAATCTGTGGGTGTCGCCAAGCACAAAAAGCCGTGATTCTAACCACGTAAAATCCCATGGTCAGCGCACCATCTTAGTTGAATTCAATCAACCGGCGTCACAAACCTGAAACAAAGACAGTGCCTCAGCTGCACCAATTTAAAATGTACAACCAACATCCTTGCATCCTCTACCCTCACGCGAAGCATATGCGTTGCCGGGTAATAGAGGACTTTGGGACGATCACGAGGAATATGGTGATTCCTTTCGGGGACAACTGTTAGGTGCTTTAGACAGCAATTGGACCATCAATAGAGTGTATATGCAATGTATACTGAGCGACTTTTCCGACACAATGGACGTCCTCAAGGATGACTAGGGATGGGAAGGACAGACTCGGCCTGTTGGTGGGCAAGCCGATGTGCTTACGAGAACAATGTGACGAGTTGTGGCACTACGTTTGGGACCAAATATTTGAGTGCTCTCACCACACATTGCAACATTCTCTTGGTCCTGGGCACACCAAGTTTCCGCTATGTGATTGTTTTGGGCAAGTACGCCCTGAGCCCCTGCGGGGAGGCTGGTTGTGACAATTCACCCAAGTGCGGGCAGCCAAGAGTCCCTGCGAGGACCGGCATGTTTGATTTTTCGTTATTATCGCCTGCGGGGTGGCGTCACGCCACGTGGCCGCTAGACGGCACGTTGGACCCTTGGTGGTCGCCACAGTGTGTGAGGCAAAAGGGGCACTGGCTGTCGCACAGGTTTTCCTGTTTTGGGCAAGAATGAGGTGACGGCCGCTGTTGCATGCGCAGACGTACGTCCATTAGTGGCGCTGCAACTGCGTAATGTTGACTGCTGGTAGCGTGCAGGCAATAGCGCAGCTGGTCACCATCATTTAGAGTAGCCCGTTCCTCAACCAAGGACGTGGCGATTCAAGCTGGAGCAAGGCGCCAAGGAAATCGCCATTCCAACAACATGAATATTCTTGGAAGCTTAGCACCATTGCGAATTCAGTCCCGTGCTGCTCGTTTGGTCACCCGCATCCTTTTTGATAATGTTCGGGTCCGAAGGGTGCTATGCACCTGGCCTAAATCCTGACCCTGATCTAAAATCGCCGATCGATGTTGAATCTCACAAAAAGCCACTGGCACGAATTTTAAACATCTTCTGGGGCATCCGGCGACGGATGCTACAACTGCCAATCCATTCAACTGCATTCTTTCAATATCAAGGCGCAGCTTTCACCATGGCACACACCATACAACAGCAGTTTGCCAGTAGGGAGGTCGGACTCGCTACAACGCCATCCGGAACAAAGCAATTACAGCAATTTCCTGAAGCGACATTCCAATTGTTGGCAGATGTGACTCGCATCTCGTGTGCAGACATGAGCTCTTACACTGATCTCACCACGGCTCCATTCTCCTTCTTCGTCACCCATCCCAACACCCACCATATACGCCTAGATAGGCGCTCGTGGGTTACCGACGAGCGGTACTGTATCTCTATGTGACAAAACCTCCACCCCTCATGTCAAAACGCGTGGCTCCAATATTCCCTACTGCGTCTACTTCACTAAAGATATCAAATTTATGCGCTTCAACCAGGCTTAGAAGGTGGCCGAACTCAACTGAGGAAAAGCGCCCTTATGTCCACAACAGCGCGATAGCTAACACTACGGCTGCCTCAAGCCCTGTACACACCCATCAACGACCCTGCAAACTCATGTGCACGCCCCGAAACACGCATGTCCTCGACTTCGTGGCACAACCCATTTTCTGATGAAGGAGAGATGGACTCGTGGGCATGGCGACTGCTGTCGAACCTTTCGGTCGGGTCACCGTGGGCGATTGACTGTTGACTACTTTCGTTTGCATACATAGGCAAAATGAACGTCTTGGAGTCCGCAAAGGAAGTTTACGTCGTCCTGTCACGTCCACCACCAACCCAATCAGCTGGTTGAGCTGCACATTCTACAAGTTATGGGGGCCATCAACGGATATTCTTGTTCAAATGAACAACACGTTCGCTTCAAATACGGCTCAATTGCCATATCGCACCACTTCGCTTCAGTACTCTCGATTGAGTCGAGCACACAAAGCGGAACATGAGGTGACTTTGTCTTCTCAACACATCTTGGGAACACTATCCATTCACCATCATCAATCACAGAAATGATTCCTTGCCATCCATGCTGCTGCCATGTGTTGGCCGTTCAAAGCACTCTGATCCAGTTTCTGGCAACCTGCACAATAGGCCAGGCGGGTGGTCGAATGTGGGAAACACATCCCTCAGGCCATCATGCAGATCAAATCAGCTTACTCTACCATCATCGAGCACACTCCTCTAATCTCGCCAGTCCCCCCTGTTGCTGTAGGTACACTTGATGAGCATAGTGTGGACACGTCTCAATGGCTTGGCGAGTTTGGATCAATAAGATTTGACATAGAAACTCTCAGATGCAGTTGGTACGTCTTTGGCTTGGACTGTGGTAGGCAAATGCGAAGCATGATCGGTGACATCCAGCTTCAGAATTGCAGTACTTTTCACAAAGGATGCGGGTTTCTTTTGCCAATACTTACCCCATTTAGTGAAGAGTACGGACCATACATGTGCCTCTTGGAATCACCATGGCCGTCATTGTTCAAATTGTCTGGCGATTCCTTTTTCTCAAGGTAGTACATTATGACGTCCCAGCCCAGTTCGGCATTGTCCACATGGCACAGGCGTGATCGAGGGTCGCCATAGGTTATCAGCATGTACACCCCATCGCTCCGCAGTGTCCTGGCAACACGAAAACACGTGGGCAAGCTGCACAAACAAACAGCAGCAAAAGGCCGAGGCGAAACGAAGAATGCATCAGCAACTCGGCAGTATTCGCATAGGTGCACCCTGCTTCACAGCTGAGTCGAAACATTCTTGCTAGGGAGTGAACTGCCAATGTCTTGCACTCCCTGTCTCTTAACAGAACTGTTCCAGGTGAGCTGCTGCCTCAAGCCCACATTCTGAGGCGAAATCCTGAAGCAGCAGCCATGCTGCAGTACGCCGCAGAGCGCTGTCACCTTGTCCATTGCCAACAAATTACCAACAGCACCAGGTTCCAACAACTCCTCAAACACAGGGGTGCTAGAGGCAAGTCATCATGATTTTTCATCCACCGCTCCAACAATGCACTTGCTCGTGAAAAGTTCAACTCCAGCACTGAGGTAGTGGCCAGACGGTTAAATATTCACAGGAGCACATGTCGCAGGGAACTTAAGCGTCTCTTGAGCTGACATGGTACGGCTCTGGTCCATGAAACCCTGCCTTGATTGAATTGAAATCAAATTCTAAGATAGATCAATTTGTTTTGCATGCCAAGGCAGTGCACATGCAGTGGCAAGGCAGTGTCAGATGGTCCCAGTCCATGATCAATGGAGCGTTTCAGAACTCTTATATTCTGCAACGATTCAAATCCACCTCTGGAATGTGTGTCTTATGAACAAAAAGAGCCTACAGAAGTTCAAGGGCTGACAGAAATGGCGGAGGCATCACACTGGCCAGCGAACCAGTGCAGGTAGGACGCTAGCAGGATTCAAGCACTGATGGATGCACAGCAAGGTGTGTCACACAAACGGCAAGTTTCACCCAAAAAGAAAACATTTGATGGCCTTTCTGCAGGTTTGACACGATTTAGGTCTCCAGGTGCATCAGTGGAAGTGTGCAACAGTGAGTCCTTGAAGCAAAACGAGAGCACAGGAAGCCAGGTTGTGAAGGGAGCTGCAGATACTCGAGTGACAATTACCAGACTGCCAAAGCATGCTTAGGTGCAGTCGAAGTGGTGAAGGGAAGCCGTCCCATAGAAGGCTATATTCCACAAATGTTAACACATACTCCAGGCGCATCTGTCTGAATTAAGAGATCAACAACGCAGTCACAACTAGGGACTTTGTGGCGTTGATCACAACTGCGCTGCGAGCCATGCACACTGACCAGGGATGAGCACTGTATGCATTCAACACTTAATAGCCTTGGGGTTTCAGTGAACAAGTTGCTCGCATGGTTTTCCTTGCCCAAATAAGACACTGGATGCCTTTCTGCGTTGATTGACTCTTTCTACCAACATTTCCTGACAGAGGTATAGAGGAATGGCAAATGACACCAAGAATAAGTCCAAGCGCCACCAGCTGACGCAGGTGATGGCAATAGCTCTGTCCACAAAGACACTGGACATACCTTGAGCATTCCAGCAGCATCTGCTTTGCATCAGCAACTGAGTTCTCCCCACACACTATGGCATCCAGGGTGCCCTTGTCGATGATGGCATCAAAAGTTCCGCTGGCAAAACAGGACATATCCCTGCATGGGCAACAGGCATCCACAAATGAGGTCTACAAAGGGAATCAAACACATGACAGTGTGCAGCAGGGAAACATGCCACCACTGCAGCAACTGTGGCATATCTATCACACCCCAATGTGCAGCCCCAGGCCCTGGCAGATCCATTTGGGCATTCAAACATGCCATTATCACTTCGATTACCTCTGGAGTGTTATAGCCACTTCAATTAGCGCCCCCATTCATGTTGTGGCAATTCTTGTTTGTGCTGTTGGCAAAAAGAAACTCAGCACCCAGCGACGTACTGCAGGAGATGCCAGTGAAACATTAACAGTGCGCTCACTGCTGCTGTCATGAGTGCACCACTTGGGCATGTCATGTTGCATCATGTGGGCACCAATGCAAGCAACCAATACTGATTTCTGGATGCAACAACAAAGAACATGCGTGTGCAGACACATCTGGCTCAGTGACTTGCGCAGTTCCAAAACGAAAACAGCAAGCCGGGGACAAATACCTGCAGTCCAGAACCTTGTACACTAGACTTGGCAGCCCACGATGCCTCTCCTTCATGTGCTCAACGACTGTCTCAGAGCAGTCAACATTCAGGATTCTTTTGTATGAGTCATTCACCATGGCCTCCTGAAGGGACGAAGTCCCGACGCCAATCTGCACCAGCCGCTTGGTCAGGGTCTTGTGGTGTTCAGGCCCAACTCACAGGATTTCGAAACTTCACAATTTAAATTTCAATTATACAACATACAATTCAATATACAATTTAAAACTCCCATATCTCCACAACAATGTTCTGGACAGTTCAAGGCATCGCCTCTGATGCCTGCAAGCCACCTCATGCTCCCATGCCTTCAAAATAAGTTGTGCATCGTCTCAAGCCCTGTCAAGGATATTAGGCGCACATCTATTCGCAAAAATGTATAAATATGTAATGGTCGCGGAGAGCGTCTAAACTTTTGTGCGGAGCTAGGGCATCTGGTTTTCTACCTCCCTCTCTGCAGCACCCAGCAGAGTGGCTGCCACAAGCCTTCAGTACGTGAAATGGATACAAATTGACAACATTTGAGAGAAATGTAGTAAATTGTTCAATGTGACACAGCACCCACTTTCCAGCAGCTGAGGCTGTGCAGCACCTATGTTGCAGTCTGGTGGTGAAAGTGCACACCAAAAGGTGGGCACCTTGCTGGTGGCTGGGCTGGCACTGAAAGGATAGTCAGTGAGTTATTCTTGATCTGTTAGTGCAAGGTGAGAAACGATCCTGTGCAGTTGTCGGTGTGGATCCTCAGAAAGCATTCTGCCACAAAAAGCAACTACCAGGGACCCATGCGATATCTCCTTCCCCAACATCAGCCACCATCACCGTTTCCTTCCAAGCAGCCTCAACAGCCAGAAGTGGAAGGGGATAGTTGTTGCAACAACTTGGTTCACGGGCCACTCTTTGCGCATCATGATTCAGCGGCCCCTCACAACAGTACCACCACCATGCCAGACTCCTTTGATCAGTGTCACATTGGACATCCTCTGCTGCCTTTAAGAGAGATGGGCCATATTTCTGGCCCACTGATTGAGCCAAGTCACCATAAACTGCTTTCTTTCAGCATGCATTATTTAGGTATCCCTGCATTTGGACACCGAAGGTCTCCACTGTTCTCACAGGCATGTTTCACGCCAATTGGGGGCCAAGAACGCCATCAGTACAAAAATTATGTGGAACCACAAACAGACGCCCCACCTGGAGGATGTTGGCATCGGGCGCAATGTACTGGTTCAGAAGCGGCTTCAGCCCTGCGTACCCCTGATACCATTCGAAAGCGCATGGCTCCTTCTGGTACCTCCTCTCCCAATACTCCTGGCTGCCGTAGTGCGTCTGCACCACAGTAGCAACAGCGCGCCAGCAATTCACCCACCCAGTCCCGGACTGCCGCAATTGGCCCAACAGAAGCAGCCTCCTGTTTTCGCACCTTCTCTGGCATGCCGGCAGCAGGCCCCGCCGCTGGGACCCTGGGCCGCCCTCTATCACCAAGGCTGGACCTGGCCCTTGGCGGAGAGCGGGAGATCGGCGGCGGGGGGGGCCTTCTCGGTGGGCGAGCTCGCAGCTGAGGCGCAACCTGTGTCCCTGAAGGACAACGACCGCAGGAGGCTGGGCCCTGGCTGGCACGTGAGAGGGCCCTTGGCCCCACTAGCTGGCTGGCGCGTGGCAGGAACCTTGAGGCGGATTGCTCCAGAAAATTTGGGACTGTGGTGGACAGGAACCGCGCGGATGGTGCGGAGAAGGGGGCGACCGATGACGCTGGTGGCATGGAAGGCAGCGGGGGACTGTTCAGGGCGGCCCGCGCCCTGATCTGGCGGGATCCATTGGAGGAAGAGGGGGCCGCGCCAGTGAGCTGTGGACGCGGGCGGGAATGCTCGATTCGCGTTTTCGATGGGATGCGATTGCGCCAGGCGGGCGCGAGATGCTGCTTCCCTGGGTAGCGGAAGCGAAGGCTGCCGCTCGCGACTGGGATCGGTGACGGCGCGGGAGGCCTACCTGCTGACGGCTCCAGCGTCCGTCGCGAGGCTGCGCCGCAGCGTGGCTCTCCCGGTGGGACCGTCGCCGAGGGGTGGAACCGCCACGGCTAACTTTCTGTCCACCACGCCAACTGCGCTGGAGGGGTGCCGTGTGACTGCGGGTAATTAGTGGCCCATGGATGCCTGATTATGGGAATGAATGGCCGTACGACTCGCTCAGCCCCGCTTTCTTTGCACAGGCCGTATTGGCCAGCTCGCGCAGTGGGGGTGCCTGAAGAGATCCCTGGACAAGGGCGAGAGAGCGAGAGGGTAGTCGACATGGCGGCGATGAGGTGGGCCGAAATGTGCTCATGGCGATGCGCCGCCGCTGTATTGCTTCGGATGGGAGTCCTCAACGGTAGCAGGGGCTCGCTTGGGAATCGCCCTTCCAGCCCGCAGCTTTGGCAGATTGTTGGACAGCGTTCTCAGTGTTTTGTGATTTTGGAAATGGGCGTCAGGAACTTTGGGATGGGATTTGCGGCCGGGGTGGTGGTCGGGGGCGCGGCTTCTTTCCTGTTTGCGGTGAAGAGGAGACCTGAGGCCCGACCTGCAGGTGTGGATTGTAGGGTGCTAGAGATCGAACTGGCACGCCTTGAGCTTTGCGTCAAGATGCGCGCCGTGAAGTTGGGTCACCGGTATATCAGGCCTTGGCATTGCGGTACAAGCCAGATTCCAAGTTCAACATGAGCTAGCCCCAAGTGCCCACACAATGAGAGAAAAATGTTGCCGGCGACCAGTCAAACGGGACTGAGACCACACGACGCTTCAACAGCAGCGTAACTCCTTGGAATAAAACAAGGCTCGTGTGGACCTGCGAACAGTGTTTGTCACTTGATGAACATTCCATGAAAGATTCCGCAGGACAGAATGGGTGCTGGTGCCCTCTTAGGAACTTGTTACAGTCGCAAAGGCTGGAAGTCTGTAGCTCGTGCGATTCAGCTGATTGAATTGTGGACAATAGGTATTGGGCCCAGTGTTTGGGCATGTCTCTCTGAGCTGTCGTAGCTGTTGGGCAATGGGTCTTTGGCCTCTTGCAACACACACCTTCTGTGCTGCTGGGCATCAGCATTGGGCTGCTTACCTGCGATTGTTCAGCAGCGATTGCGTACTGTCATAATTCACAATTTCCAGGATTGATCCTGCCATGACAGTAATGTTCTCCAAGATACGTGTGACGTCCTTTAGGATCTGTGCCCCCAAGAGGTAACGAATGGTGCAACTGGTAACTGCTGCCCCCCAAGTGGTGACAACTGGTGAATGCAAGTGGTGCTGCCACTTACCATTGTGCAAACAAGAATCAAAGACCAAAAGTCTTTGAGAAGTGGAGGTGTTAATTTTGAGGGGAGGGGAATGTACAAAAGACTGCAACATTGGGGACTTTGCAAGCACACACCAATTGCACATGGGCTGATACCTGTGGCAACAAGGTTGCTTTGGCGTTGCGTTTGGCAGTGGAGGCAGCAGGCCCGCATTGTGGACATTCGGTGGCAGCAAATATATGTGCAGTCACCCAACAGCCTGTCCCTACCTGTCCCCAGAGTAATCATAATTGGTCCTAGCAAACAGGCCAATTATGGCCACCGCTTTCCCAACTATGGGTATGCGATTGTTTCCATATCGAAGTCTTGATATGTATTGTGCAATGCACCAAGCACAAATAGACTTCCAGACTTTGTTGGCTTGACTGTTGTTAGATTGTTGGGCTGAAAAATTCTTGCATGGCATGCACAGAAGGAGTTTGTTTATAGCAAGTCTATCCATGGAAGGAGAGATAATGTATACATGCATTGGATGGTGAGAAATAGTCCTAAAATCGGTAATCTATTTCCATATGTGCAAATAGTTTCGTTGACCACTGATCGTTGCAGTGGCTTTGCAATGTTGTAGATATGCTTTCAGTTCTGCTGTACATGAACCTAATCATCCTCGAGCCATGGGAAGAGGGGGGCAATGTGGTGGAAGTCTACTGTGTGCTAAATGACATCACCTCTCTCTGGTATCTGCCATGTGGGTCTTCGAGGTCCATACAATTTGTGGTGTCGTTTCGTTTGAATTCTGTTGTTTGTTATTGTTCATCGATCTGCAGGGTTGGTGGTCGCTCCTCAAGGAAAGGGCAACGACACCAGTGCTTTTCGCTACCACCCAGCTCTCAAGTACGGTAGGCCAGTTTGTCACCCTCACGCATTCAGCTCTGTGCACCCATTGTCTCAGACAATTCTGCCCTCATCTTGCATTGTTGTGGATCTGGTGTGCTGGTTCTGCCTGTGAACAAAACTTAGTTGGCCTTTAGAAGAATTTTTGGGTTGTGCAGACTGTCCCAATCCAGAGTCGCTGCTCTGGACCTGCCTGTGGGTGCTTCCATTGTAGACATGGCAAAGACCGACAGTCACATGGCATCTGCCCCTGTATCTCTGAAACCAAAGCTGTGTCAAGTAAAAGCAGAATCAGAAAGAGTGTTTTCTTTCTTGCAACGAGGCAAGATAGCCAGTTGGCCATTGTACAGCTTTTGTTACCTATAACGGAGCTGCACAAAGTGCATGTTGTCGCCTTAGACTCCAGGAGCCACATGTTTTGAACTTCAAATATGAGTTCGGAGAAGAGTGACAAGACGCATTCATACAGGCTCTTGCCCAGGGGGCTGCTGACTTGTGTTTGTTGCTGCAGGAGCACCCAGCAACCACAACCTGAAGTTCTACACTGGCTTCGTTGCAGCATTCGATCCCCGAACGCGCAACCCAGTTTGGGTTCTCGAACACCTGTCCAGCAAGAAGGAATGGGAGGAGGGTGTTGACAGGTGTGATCTTCAGATATGGATTCGGAGCACCAGACTTGATGCGTCTTCAGTATGTTATGGTCTTATGTTGTGCAACAACCGCATAGCATGTCATCCTTCCCTGAGGGTGTGTGCTGGAAACACGAATATCATTTCTTGGGGGTATACAATAGCCGCGCGCACTATGGATGGTCCCCAGCTCTCAAACCATTGCGGGTACCTGGGTATCTGACAAATAGGTGCGTGGCTGTACCCACCCGTACCTGGATACCCAGCCATGTGGGTACATGAAACCCAGTACCCGACCCGGGTAGCTGGGTACCATCCCTAGCCAGGTGTGTTTCTCCTTTTGAGGATATGGATGAGCCAGGCACAGGTTGCAATATTCTGTTCCAAACAACCTCAAATGGCTGGGGTGTCCTGCCATGGTAGTGACTTGCACTTGGTGTAACTACAGTCAGACATAGATTAACAGCACATAGGATATTTGAAGGCAAAGGCAGAGCGATAGTCCTTCAACTCACTGCAATGTGCGTGTGCTGCTGCAATGCCCTAGGCGATGGCTTGTTCTATATGATGCAGCACAATACTGTAATATTCCGATGTCTTGCCAGGTTGTATTTGGCCATGTGCCTGACATGTTGACATTTTGTGCGTGAGTCTCACCACCTGTACCTGCATCCTATCAGGAAGAATTCTGAATTCTATGAAGACAAAGACATCGAAGAGCGCTTCCGCAATCGCCTTGTGGACTTCAGGGGTTCGGGCTATGACAGAGGGCACCTGGTATGGGGATAATTATTGCTGCCTTTCATACATTCCATGCAGGTGTGGGGGAATGAAAAGATCTTCAACCTCGTCAGCAATTGGTTTCTGGGAATTTGGCAGCACTTGTTTTGGTATGCCACACAAGGATTGGGGAAGGAATGGAAGTAGGCTGAGAAGCTTGCATCCTCCATTGTCTCAGATTTGTGTCAGAATGCATAAAGTTGAATACCGTCATGGTATGGAGCAGCCCAGATGTCTTCTGCGGCCATTTGTGCTTGTCGACCAGGGGCCTGGTGTAGTTCCCCAGTACACATGTTCAGCCATTTATGCCTGCTTTGAAGGTAGAGTGGGCTGTGTGCTCCTGTAGGCCCCAGCTGCAAATCACAAGGACAGCCAAAAGGCCATGGACGAGACATTCGTGCTGAGGTGACACAGGAGCCAGTGAGAATCATGCTGCAGTAGTCAAAGCTCCAGCAACCCTACCAACAACTCTGCTTTTGTTGTTCATGGCAGTGACAGGAGGTGCACTTGTCTTCTCTGCTCCTTCATGGCCACTTTGGTGATTCGCATCTGTCGCTCTGATTTACATGCTGTGTTTTGCTGGTGTGCAGCAACATCTCGCCTCAAGTTGGCAAAGGCTTCAACAGGTATTGTACATTGAACTTGTAACAACCTGCCTGGTCTAAATGTTTCAGATTCTAATAATCAGAACGCATAGAACAAGCAAACAGAGATCAGAACAGAAACAGAAATACCGAGCATAGATCATCGCCGTTGTGTTGCAGTGCAGCAATATGAGTGGTTCATAAGTGCAAAATTGCTCTCAGATTCTTTTTCGTTTACATTGCAGAAATCAATGCAATGATTGGCAACATTTGACTCTAATGCATTATTGCTTATGCTCAGAAAAGTTTGACCTGTTTGTCTTGTCTGTGGTGCCTGCGTGTGGACGACATGAACGGCACTTGCTGTGTGCCTGGTGCGATCAGTTAAGCACTGTTCATGCATCTCTCAGGATGGCCTCAACCTGCCAGCTTGGCCCATTCCATTTATTCTGCTTGCCCATTCCTACGTGGACATTTTGTGCACAGATATGGTGCTTTCACTCTTTCTTTCTCTCTGGGGACCCCATGGCCGATCCAAATCTGTGCTGCCACAAATAAATAGTTAATCCAAAAAAACGGAAGCTGTGAATATATTCACAGTGATAAGAGGCAAACTGAAACCAGATGAAAGGAGAGTGCCTTTCTCAGCGATTGGATCAACTCATATGAACTCCATGCTTTTGCTGTTTGTGGTTCACCAAAGGGACTACTGGGCAAGATTTGAGAAGTATGTGAGGGACTTGACCAAGAGCAGCTCTGCTGTGTGGGTGATTACTGGACCTGTATGGCTGCCCCAAAAGCTGAAGGGTGGCCATTGGCAGATGAACTATCCCATGATTGGTGAGTTGAAATCAGCCACAGTTGACATTTGTACGCATGAATTCGCCACTTTCTGGAGCTGCGATCAAATGTGTTATGGTCGTTGAGCTTGGCCCTGGAGCAGATCAGCATGGATCTCACACACAGCGTTGTACTCGATTTGCTATTCCTTTTGCCCTTAACTGTTGCTGTATGTTCCTTGGTGATGATGCTTTGAAAGACACTTTCAAAGAGTTCCTTCAAACCGTCATCAGCATTGGATTGCCCGTGATTGACGTGTGTTCCTTTGTTCTTAAGTGCTGGTCAAAATCCAGAAGTGATATCACCAACCACAGGCTTTGTTGGTTAGCCCTCAAAGGAATGACTGGCCAGTGGATGCTGCGGGCCTATGCCTATCGCCGTTCTGTGGTTATGATCTTTGTGAGTGTGTAAACCTTCAGGCCAGCCGCCAACTCTGGTGTCCGTTCCAACTCACTTCTACAAGGTGGTCCTGGCAGAGTCGAAAGACAAGCCAGGGAACTGCATGGTGGGCGCTTTTGTGATGCCAAACGCCGCCATTCCCCCAGACACACCACTCACAAGATTCGTTGTGCCCATTGAAGATTTGGAATGCGCGGCAGGTACATCCACATGCACAGATATTGTGCCACACACCATTGGCAATCCAAGCAGAACTTATGCTGCAATGATTAATCTCTTTTCCACAACAGTTCTGTTCCGCATTCTCCTGGTGTGGAAGTCATTCCTGTTGATTGTCTTGCATCAATCGAGTGTGTTGATTGGCTTCATTCTAGCTTTCAGCGCATCCTATTGTGTTAAAAATCTGCAATTCTGCTGTCAATGCAAGTTAAGGAATATCACAGATCAATGATGTAGCCATCAGTTTCTTGGTTGCCCAAGAAAAGTAATGCCCAAATGTTTTTCATTGAAACCCAATGCAATACATCAATGGAATGCAAAATCCACCAGGTACTTATTTCGTTGAAAAACAGACCGCTTCAGCTTCTTCATTTCTGTCATCAAGTGGAGGAATTTCGGATCCCCTCAACTTGCTGCCTGCACTGGTCCTGAGAATAGCTAGTGTTGTCGATATGCAAGATGATGCTAGCCCACATAGAGTGGCATAACAGCACCCAAGTGCATCCTGACCTCATCATTGGATTATATCACCTGGATAACTTTTTAATGCCATTGTTGCTGAAGCAGGAGCTTGCAAAATCGAGTTGTTTGCACCTGACTAAGCTAATGTTGAAGGGTGATGGGTTGCATCTTCTATGCAAGCTGTCTATGGGTGAACAGAGCTTTTAGATTGCTCCAAATTGTCTGGCATTCAGCATGGACATCATGCAGCGTAGAGCAAGCAAATGTTGTGTGTTGAAGGAAACAATGGAAGCCAAGTGTGACCTTTTGGGCCATTTGCAGGTGTACAGTTCTTTCCTGGCTACATCAGCAGTGCCCGTCGAAATGCTTTGGACACTGCAGCGATTGACTGGCGGCAATATGGGATGCAGCTGGCGAAGCCCACAGGGCCGAAGCTTCTGCCAGAAGGAGACTCGATCTCGGCATCTTCGCATGAAAGTAGCCCCCCTGTTGTCGACGGAGAGAAGCCGGCAAGCCTGGTGAAGCAACCATCAAAGACAGGTGGGATTTTTCTTTGACTTTCCACTCCTCAGCGAAATTGTGTTGGTGGCATTGCCTTACTTTGTGCATCGTTGACGGACACTCAGGAGAATATCGATTTGTTTCAGTGAGGTGTTCTGTGGGATTCACATAGACAAGCTTTCAACTCATTCGCACACTGCTAGCCCTCTGGTGGGTGAGCTGCTGTCAATCCAGTTGGCAATACCTGCGTAGAGCTGCTGACCATGCGTATTCAGGACGATGAGATGTCTGTCAAATAGAGTCGAATCAGAGGAGCAACTGGCAGCAACAGTGAGAGAGATCACGCTGCTCATGTAGGCTGGAGAACCTGTGCCAGTAGATGCGCTGACTTTCAACATGTAATGGCGACGGGCCTGCCTAGAAGAGCAGAAACAACTGCAGCTGCGGGAGGTTTGCTTTGATGATTTGCCAGCGTTTGGTGACCAATGGCGCAGGATGAGACATTTAATTGTGCCGACGATGTGTCACAAGGCATGGAGGCGCCCAAAGTCGCATCAGTGCTGCGATTGCAGCGTTATACAAACAGACGTGATTGGCATGTGGTTCAGCAAGTGATGGATATTATGAACAATGCCCTCATCTGCCGCAATTGAGCATATCTAAACACATCTGAACTCATGTTTTGAGAAATTTGCAGGCGAGTGTAAGCCATTGTTGGAATCTGAGCTGCAAGCAGCCCAGTGTCAAGCGACAAGGATGAGGTTCAGCGTTTGCAGCTGCAACCTCCTGACCATCTTTCGTTCAACCTTTCTGGATAGACAATGTTATGCAGCATATTCGTTGACTGCATATGCTGCCGAGCTTACGTGTGACACATCACTTGCAGCTGCTGTTGCACCTGGCGGAATGTAAGGATAGTCACTTCAGTTTCACTCCTGATGATGCCCTGGAACCTTGGCCTGCTTCTACTGCAGTCCTAGTGAGCGTTCCTCCTGTGTGCTGCATGCAGGCCCTGGTGGCCAGGGTGCCATCCACCTTTGCGAGAATGGTGGTTGCACGCTGCCAGCAGAGGAATGGTGGATCAAGGGGCCCAAGGTAGGATAGGACATGCAGCAGGCGCTTGTGTCTACTCATCTTCATCCGGATTGGAATTGCACATGACGATGGAAGGGCAGGCAAAGCAGTCATGGAATCTCAGGTGCTAGGCGGATGTGCTGCAGAGGATGCCCCTGCCAGGGCTGCTGCATGGTGCAGCACTTTGTATGTTCCTGAGGCCGGCGTGGGCACAGCTCCTGTGGCTACGAAGTATTCCAGTTGACGGTCGTTCAGCAGCTGGGGCGGAGGGGATTCCTGCCCCTGCTGGTGGTGCGGCCGCTGAAGACCTCAAACTCAAGCACCTGTGGTCACGGCACATGAAGGCATCGTTGTGCAAGTGCAGTGGGTAAAAAGTGGTGCTGGTGATGTGGTGCAGAGCACTCAAGACATCTGTTGGGCAGCAAGCAATTGTGTGAGGGAATCCTTTGTTATAAAGGCATTTGCTATAGCGTCAATTTGACGCTAAGCATAACAAAATCGACATAGTGTCTTCCTTAACCAAACCAAAGGCAATTTGGTCAAGCTTTAGAGCTAGTGTTTGGACTATTCGCTGCTACCTTAGCATTAACTTGCAGCTCGGCACCAGTGCAACGTCCCCCACAGTGCACCGATACTGTAGTTTGATATGTGTCCCCCTCTACAATATTGCCATGGTACGGTAAGGGTGGGAACGCTGACCCCCTTCTGATTGTCTTTATTTGGCCGGCCTTGCACCGTCGCAAGTGTCGTTCTCACTGTGGGCGCAGCAAAAAGGCGTTCGCAGGCGCATTGCAGATGCTACATGCCTGTTTGGAGGTCACCAACGTGGGGTTCAGGAAAACGATGCAATCCACTGGCTCCGTGAACGGTGCACTGAGGGATCCGCTGTAGTGCACATAGTGCAGTGGGGAATGTCCTTCAGGCTGGTGATGTCTTGGGCTTTGAGGGCCCTACCCACGCCAGGAAACAATTGCAAGGCACGGGCCGAGCAGGTGTTCGCTCCCACCCGCTCGCTCATCAGGACCGCATGCACGGCGCAGTCTCCCACAGCATGAAAACAAATTTAGTCCAGTGCACAGCAATGTGCGGTTAGGCACATAGGTGGAACTGTTCTCCCATTTTGAGCAAGAACACATTGTACAGCAGAGTTGGGACTTGGCGATGCTTGTGAGTATTGGGCGGTGGTGGAGATGTCTCAGAGAGACCGGCAGCTGATGGACAAGGCTGGACTTTAAAGCTGCCGTTCCGCCATCAAGGCACAAACGTTGTTGCGACCCCAGAATTGTGCCTCAAATGCTGTAGACGCAGTTGCAGTGCACACAGCATCTTATAAGCACCGCCCACTTCTGACACCCAGTCCAGTGGACAGTCCGAAATTCCATCTGGAAGGGAGTATTGCCACGCATGGGGCGTGTCTGACCGTGGGTGAATGGCACCTGTAAGGCAACCATTCGTGCAGGTCAGTAAGTTCAGAGCACAGACTCTCACACAAAACCAGCGCAAATGTTTCAGTACACTTTGGCACCCTATCGGCCAAAGGGATGCCAAACTCAGCACTGCATTTGTTGCTGGCGGATTATCCTATCATGGTGATAACAAATAATACTCCATTCCAAACAACGAATTTCTAAATTCGATGCTTGACGATTTGGAGTGCATTTTATGAAGACAGCGTTTTCTTCAATCTGATGGGGAGGAAGACGATGACGAGAGATTGACTGATGTTAAGGAAGGAAACAGTGCTCGCCATCAATTCCGAATTGGTGAACTTGCATGGAACTATCACTCCGCATCTTTTGCGTTGAAAGAAGTGCAGCAGCGCTGAAAAGCAGGGCACCGTGACACGGACTGCTTGTCGACAGATTTACGATCTAAAGTACCTTCCTTTGCGGAAGGCTGTCGAAGTCTGGCTTTGCACATACAGAAGCCCTGATTCGCTCTCTTGTTGCTGTTCATGTTGCCCATTGTTGCTTGCTTTTCGTGCTGCACGTATGCAGTTTTGCATATTTCCAGTAGAGAAACCTGAGAAAGATGTCCGAAAGAGGCTCGGTATTTGTAGTGTTCTCTTTTGTGTTTACGAGTCACGCCATTGACGGCTCAGGCATCTCAGAGATGAGATAGAGTCTCGGCTAGCTAACGCAGCACCTTGTCAGTTTGTCCTTTGCTCGTCAAAGTATGGATACTTTGGAAATTCTCAAATGCCAAGGAAACAGTGGCAAGGATAAGCAGTCCAAGCCAATGCATGCAGCTTGGTGTTTTTCGCCTCTCTCATTGCAGCACCCTAAGTGCCGATCTCTTCAACGCCTTGCATGAGCGCACCTGCATTTCTCCGCGACCCGGGTTCGACACCTGGACACCCCACTGATTGTGGCAGCCAAACTGGTGTCGGTCGACAGGAGTTGTGGCCATCGCCTCTGTCAGCGGAATGTCCACTGATGATTGCAGCCCGCCACTGCTGCGCTATCCGGGCCAAGTCTGGGGCCCGCCCACATATCCTGTGACACCACCACGCCAAGGACACCACGCTCACTTCAATGAGAAATGAACATGAGGGTAGGACACGAAAAACATACGCGTGGGCAATGGGGTAACGTCCGAGATTGGTATGGGGAAAATGAGGAAGGATGACAAGAAAAAATGACCTACACGTGCCTGGTGCTGTCAGAGGCACGCCCCTCTTGTGTCTCTACGGACACTCGGTATGAGCACGAGCTCCAGAGCACTGAAGGCTGCGGCTGCGAAGCCTGTTGGCCACTGCACAGCCATCGATGGAGTCCCAGTGGCCAAGCCATAGAATGGTGGGTCCCTCGCAAGTCACACACCCCCACTCCAGAACATTCTTCAGCACTGCGTGCCAGTTGGGCGATGCAAAAACACTTCCCGGCAAGAGAAGTCTAGATCCTTGGATGTTGGCTCAATGAATAGAGCCTTAAATCACGTTGTGCCCATATTCAGCGACACAATACCATAGATTCATCACAGATTTTGTATGGATAGCTGCTAGCCAATTCTGACAAGCGAGAGAGAGGGAGACGACAAATGGACAATAAGTAAAGCGAGAATCCGCATATCAAGCACCCAACACGTTTTGGATGAATTGGACGAATTGTGGTGTCAGAGGTGTCTGACTGGCTACCGTAAAATTCGACATAAAAAGAACATGTGGAACAAATATGGGAGCTGCGCTGCTGGAGTTTCCATGAATAGCATGCGGTGCTTCCAGAGGCAGAACTGGGCCCTTCTTTCAAAGGGCAAAAGCGCTGCTGAAAGCCTTGCCAAATGTATGTGAGATTTATCAACCTGGACGGCAGCATTGGAAAAGAAATGAATGGACAGCTTGGCTCGATGACCACAGCCTCAGCCACTTGCGCCTGTACCGAGGGGCTTATGTTCGACCACTGGTCATCTGGCAAGTGCGTTTCCGGGGCTGGTTAGGCGCGGGGCACAGGAACAAAAGAACTGGAGGCGCTGCACCAGCACGTGTGGTGCACATGGTGGGTGGGGTGAGGTGAAAAAGGATGTAGGTGTCTTCTTGCGCTGCATTTGACAGGTGGCATGTGGAAACGCATCGACGATGGATGTGTGAGCAGGGTGTCCATTCGGAACATTGCAACGGAGGGATGGCGAGCCGTAACATTCAATGGAGCGTATAGCGCAGGGGGCGTGAATCCGCTTTTCGTGTTCGAACGAGAATTCGAATTCGTTGTGTGGCCCCCATGTCACGAATGAGATGCATCGTTTTGGTCGAATTCCAGGATTTCCTTTGGTGGGGCGAACGTTCACCGTGTGCAACTTGAAGGCCTGCTTGAGGCAATCCTACCTTTGCAATACCCGGTGCCTATAAGGGCAATACACGCAAAGCGTGATACGTGCAAAACTTGAGGAACTGCTCCAGTCGACCCCGGGTCCCGCGTACGTGTGCAAGGCAGGTTGGGTGGTGGCCTGCAATTTGTCGACTGCACATGAAGCATCTCCGGACCGCGCGGCTGAACCATGCTTCGGTATACGGTATATGGAATCTGCAAAGCTACGTCTACATGGCTCTAGCAACCCATGGATTGGGCAATTTGGAAAACCTGGACTCCAATTGCGATGGGTTGTGGCAAGGATACTGCAACTAGACGTGCGTAAAATGGCGCATTGCTTCTTCCGTTCATGCATTGAAGCTTCATTATGTATGCGAGGCGCATCTAAATTGTGTGTGCCTGCTTACCATCCTACAGCCCGCTCCCGTCTAGAAAATGCCCTCTATCTTCTTCCACTATATGCCCAAAGAACCCAAAGCAATGCAGTTGTGATGCCGCACATAGCTCCAGTACATGGCAGCGCACTTTTGCTGCTTTACACATGCAAACTCGCATGGCCAGCTCATACACAGTTCATATGCCGACATTCGTTCAGAACCCATTTCAGCTGTTATTACCGTTTCATCAAACCTCACTCTCCAACACTATAATCCAGACACGCCCCTCTCATCTGCGACACAAGATATATGGCTTTCGCACAATCCTGCCACCCTTCACTATTTTCAACATTTTGCGCCCACAGCCCGCAAGACAAGCTGCCCAGAGGCGGCGTCGACGGCCGTCCCTAATCTCTGACACAGAAACTACAAGCTAACGGCACTTTGGGCTAGCGCCGCACGATGATCCACAGGAAAAAGAACGCCAACAGAATTCCAACTATTATGATGACAGATTTGCGTTGTTGCCGATCTTCCATGACCTTGAAGCCCCACACAAGGACAAGTAAGACATGCGTACGTGGCACAAGCAGAGAGGGGCATGGGCACATTCTGCGCCAGGCTACAAAATGACTGTAACAAATCGACTTGAAGAGGGTACACAATCACAACATTAGTCTACTCGTTGTGGAAACTCCACGATCTCGAACAAAGAATGACATGAAAAGAAACAGCGACACAGCAGAAGCCAGAAAGAATAGTGTACAAGATAGATGCGTTACTGTACAGAGCAAGCACTGTGGGTTTGGGCCACTTTGAGGCAGGCAAAGCTCGGGGTTTGCCTTGTTTCCTGCAGCTGTGTAGTCACCAGAGGGCTAGTCAATGTGGCTATGGTTCCTACCGTTTTGAAGCGGTCTGCAGCGCCTCCCAACAGCCCCCGAGTATTGCCCATAGAGTTGCCCTGCAACAAGGCAGCACCAGCGCACACCTGAGCTTCAAAGGGGCCAAGTTCTCCGATGATTGCATTTGCCATTAAGAAAAACGAGTTCGGTCCCGCACTCTGTGTGCCAGCTGGCATGCTTGCGTACACATCATTTGTGGTGGAATTGTGCAAGGGCGACTACCACAGCTCGCCCTCATTTCAAAGTGCGAACTGGCTAAAAAGCTGGGGGAAAACGAAACAGCCAGCTAGATCCAACAGGAAGGAACCTGATCTCCACTAGCCCATCCATCTGCTCACCACTCTGCTATGTTGCCTAAACTTGTCTAGGCACCACAAGTGATGAAGGGCAATATGCTCATCCACAGTGCCTTGCCCAAACTACGATATGTGCCCGATGTCAAAAGTCTGCAATTCAAACAACCAGTGGCTGCTCCAACTCGAACCCGTTGGATGTTCCCTACCTCCCTGTGAAAGCTACTTGCACAGAAAGAAGGACAAACTGCACAAGGGCTACCGGGCACATTTGCTGCTAGGTGTTGGTCAGACAACATTAATGTAGCCACATCATTTTCATGCCAAATCATGCAACATGATATGCAAATTGCAAGCAATTTCATGATGACTCAATGGCATCAATCGGATTATGATAATTTGAATCAGACGTCAACAGTGAAGAAACAGCGCACGCATGCATGCACAAGGGAATGACAGGCACTTATGGCACCCCAATTGTTTGTTCCCATCATATCAATGTTTACCTCGCACAGCCAGCCAATCAGCAAAACTGCAAGCTCCAAATGCTGCCAATGGTACTCGCATCGCAGCAATGAAACTGTGGTGTCACTGCACATGTCAACTTTCAGAAGTCCCTGCCTGTGTGTTGGTGAATTCATACAAGGCAGTTCCCTGCCTCAGGTGTCTCCACTTGTTATAATTCTGTATGGCAACATTCATGTTTCGACCCACCCAAAGCTATTTGCGCTTGTACCAGAAAACTGACAGGGAGCAGGGGAACCTGGATGCCAGCTCCAGCGAGACAGTTTCAACAGTACAACATGCAACTCCTCTTGGCATCAAGCACAAATTGCCGTGTGATGTTCACCACATTCCTTACCACTTTGTCAAGAAGTGAGTGCTGCGACTCCACCTCCACTCTTATGCTGTCTGTCATCTAAGAGCAAAACGACAACAGAATGGTGACATCTTTAAAACACACAATTCGCCCTCCAAGACATTGTCAAATATCGCCTTCCTGCCATTGTGTGCTGCCCACCTCTCAAGCAGATTTCTGGCAGAACATTCACATGAGTTGGCCACTGGCAAAGGGCAGTCGTCCGATATTCACACTTACACTCTTACCAGAACATGGAAACTGCACAAAAGAATGAAGGCCATGGCCTTCAAAAGCTAGAAATAATCACATTTCGTATTGGAGAAGTTGGGTCCAGCATTGGCACGTGCTCCGAAAGCAAGATTGTCATGAAAGTCGTGGAACAGCAGCAGGCCTGTTGGAGTGTAGGGCAATCAAAAGGCCTGGTCTCTTGTCAACCTGCAAAAGACCTTCCCCTTGCACATCCTCACCTGCTTTAGGAACTTCGCTTTGGCCCCCAGGTCGTCAATCCGATTGTCGTTCTCCTCCTCGAGTGCTTCCGCATCAAGCCCGCCAGCCTGCCATCAAGCCACCCTCCAATCAGTGCCATTCCACTTCAATGCCTGCACCTCTCACCGCAGTCTCCCTTCTATCCCCACGGATTGGTTCTTCTTTCCTATTGCCAACGATCCAACCCATCAACGGCGGCAGCCAGTGACCACCAACGCCCTGTTCACCGGTGTCCCAACAATCGCGGCTGCGCTTCCAGTGCGCAGTCGCGTAGGGGGGGTCACCTCACTCGAAGAACCGACTCCATAGGCTCCTCGGCGGTCCCTGCACACAAGGCGACCGTGGTCGATCAACCCATCACCCTGCCGGCGTGGGTAGGCGGGGGAGGAAGGGCCCGAGGCCCTGATTCCGAGGCGACCTGCCGCAGGCGGCAGGAACTTGGAAAAGAAACTACGCGGCCATCGAATCCAGCTGCCCAAACCTTACAGGCTGACAAACAGGGGGTCGCGCTGTTCGCGCAGGAGGCTGGGGCCTTGCTTGTCTCGCCGGTGCCCCATGCGGCCACCGCGGGTCGGATGCCGTCGGCGATTGGGCAAGGGTGAGCGGGGTGAGGCCCCGTGACGTGGTGAGTTGGAAGCATACCTCGGTCGCATCTTGTGGGCAGCCTCCGCGAGCCTCCGCGCTCTTCTTCCGCAGTGCCGCCCGCGCTCAAGGCTGGCCTCGTTGCTGCGTTGATACCAGCGAGGGGGAGATTTGTTCCGCAGAAGCCATGAAGAAGGGGACACTAGTGCTTTCTTTGAGCGTCCTTTGTGGGTGCATTCTGCAAACCATCATTGTTGCAAATCGATGCGTTTCAGCATTGCCTCTGATGCTGCCTTGGCCAAGGCTTTTACCATTCATGGTTCAATTGCCAGACAAAGATTGAGGACAAACCTGCTGAAAAGAGCTGCTACACAGTGATAGGATGGGAGTCGCGCCGAGCTTGCCTGAGGACAGTTCAGTAGATCTCCTTGCACGGCCACCTGATGGATGCAGCTGCAGAACGTCATCAGGCCGCACCCTTGCGCCTTGTTTGGAGTGGCTAATGGGATGGTATAGCTGAAATTTAGCCAGCCTGCGGGCAGGGGTGGTGGTGGTGGGGGTGGGTGGGTATTGGTCTCCCACGGATGAGAGTGGGGAAGTGAGGAGTGTTCCTCACGGAAGGATGTGGGCGAAGTCCATACTTTATGACTCAATTTCCTGATTTTTGTACGAAACCTTTTTAACTCCGTACCAAATACTATTGGATCTGGTACCAAACTGCTAACGTGCTGAATGAAATTGAAACTAGTAACAATGCATGTTAAATGAGGTACTAAATTCCCTCCAGCACCAAAAATGCTGAACCAATTACCAATTAGTACCAATTAGTCATCAAATCACCACCACCATAAGGGCTCATAACCCTAAACCCTAAACCAAGTGCAAGCTCAATGTTGGTCGCATGGCTGGTCGCAGACCTTCATTTGATGACTAGCTGGTACCGGTTCAGCATTTTTTGGTGCACCATTCAACATTCTTGATACCGGCGCGAATTTGCTACCAGATTCGATATTATTTTGTATTAGTTTCAATTTTATTTGGTGCGGTGGCAGTTTGGTACCAGATTCAACAATATTTGGTGCTAGTTTCAATTTTATTTGGTGCGGTGGCAGTTTGGTACCAGATTCAATAATATTTGGCATGGAATTAAATATACGCCACTTTTGTACCCTTGCCAAGGCCCACCTGAGGAGCCCCCAGTGGGGAACCCTCTGGGTAGGAGTAGTATAGGGCGGCTATAGCAGGGCAGTTGCCATGGATCAGCTTTGCCAGATCCAGTCCTTTTCCAGTCATTGAGTGGAGACAGATGTAGGCTGGGTTGCGTAAGGGCAGGTGGCTACATCTACGTCATTCGGGCCGAAATTATGCTCAGTGAAAAATTCGTGAGCACAATCTCATGGATCCAATTACTCCCATGTTGGTCTCACCTGAAACCATTGCCATTGCATGCAGATCATATGTGGTTATAAAGGTTGCGTCCAGGAGGCCATTATCCCCTCCGTGAAAACAGACTGATCGGGCCAAAACTGAGCCATGAGCGGAATCGGGGATCATGCCAAATTGCATGCTAGAGAGATATCACGAGCCAGCGCTATGACACGAGGAACATGCAATGCAGGACACTTTTACCTCCTGGAGTGAAACTTGAAGATGACCTATATTATCATTCCGGGTGGACATTTGTGTTAGATTATACAGCCACCCTGGCAGCTTGCAATCGTCAATTACAATGCTTGATGCACAAGAGAAGATTCCCTGCCATCCCTGGCCAGTCCCCACTATCGTCTCAAAGCCACGAGTGCGCAGATCTATCCCCAGCCGAAACAGCCTGCGATCAAACAATCTGTCCGTCCTCTTTCAGGATCCCCCTGATCCTTCGCCTCGCCCGCCCAATTCAATCCAATCCAACACCCCAAGCTCCTTTCATCCTCAACCACACTCTGCTCCCAGATGTACAGGCCAGGTTTTATACCAAGCCGGTCAAAGCGCGGGGCTGTGAATACACAGGTGTGACAATCAATGCCACATTTCTAAAAGGCGCCATTTCGGCGCACTGGTCCTTCTTCCAACCTAAAGCCCTGCACACTCGCCACCAGAACCTGCAAACCTAATGCCAAGACTGAATCAGGCACACCAATTTGAGCCGAAGCATAATTGGCATGCAGCGAGTCTGTAAATTTCGTATGCTTCACTGCTGCCTGCGAAGCCCGAGATTCCTGTGCTAATGGTTGCCCATGAAAGCAGCTTAAATACTGACCTAATGGTCGAATAATGTTTCCCCCGTTTTCCCAAATCGAGACTCATGCATTCGGCGAGCGCTTGCTCACAGGTTTGCCACACCCAGTGCTTCATTCCCTCTGCGTATGCTGACTATGGAACACAACCAACATCTGCTAATCTGTGATTTGTGCTTGCAATGCATATTCTCACTAACTGTCGTCATCAGTCGTCATAAACATTTGAGTGGATCTTGTGAGCTGAACTGACGGGGTGCAACGGCGCTGGCATGAATGGTTTTTGTTTATGGCTGCCATGGCTCTCGGTCGACTCTGCTTTTGACGGCATCTTGCGCAACAACAGGCCCAGACCATCATCCACAAATGACCTGATGGCTTTGAATGACTTCTGCAGGGCACCGAAGCTCCCAGAGGCTTGGATGCGGGGTTGGCTTTCTGGGGCAGACAACAGCGAGGATGTCAGTTCCAAACAAAGTAAACCTTTTCCCAACGTTTGCTGGGCACTTGTGCGAGTCGGGACAGTCGTTCGGACTGGCATGGACTGATGGGGCTTGGATGCAGGCGTTTGGCCAAATATTGGCATGCGAAATGGACGGCCTCCTGTTCAAAATGAGAAAGCTGTCCTCCCAGTTTGCACTAACCAGGGTGTCAAAATTCCATTAAACGACATGATATCTACCCTAACTGTTGGCACTTTCCTAAATCGTAGGGTTTCAGGAGAGGCATGGCTGACACCTCGATTTTGTCGCCTCCCAAAGTTGTCTTGAATAATGCATTGACGGGCCAAGTGTGCGACATACATTGTGCTGATCCTTGTGGCGTGGAGGTACAGTCAGTCTAATTCAGCTGGCCACCCAAGAAGCTATGGAAAAGAAATAGCAACAGTCCAGTGACATCGCATTGGCACCTGGATAAATGGAGATTTGCATTTGGATTGCCTTCAGGTATCTGCTTACCGCCTTCCAGCATCGATCTTGATAACAAAATAACCATAAGCGCGTCTGTTATCTAAATAGGCTTGATCTCTGTTGACGAGTCGTTGTTGTAGCTGGAAAAGTGCGGGAGTCAACAGATGTGATGGCATTGTCACAAAAGTTGGCAGCGTTCTCGGATGATTGATATGAAGATGTGGAGTTCCTGGTTATTCTTCTCAACTTTGTCCTGCTAACAATTTTATCAGATCTTGGTGCTCCTGGGGCTGATGAGTCTGATGTGCACCAGTCTACTTAACTATGGTTCTATTCCAGGAGGGATTGCAAGAAATTACGATCAGTTCAGGAGCATTCGTGCTGCCGAGGTCAGCCCCAACGACATTACAGCAACTTTTTCACTGCAGGGACCAGCATTTTCTTCGGCTGAAAGATTTCCAGACTGCACAGACTCGACTCTAAATAGGGGTCATTGGGGTCTGCACTGTGTGGAGGGTTGTGTAGCCTAACGACGCTCGAAGCCTGGTGCTTGAGGATGCAAGTCGGGGAACAGGCTCCCTGACTGGATTTGGGTTGTCTGACTCGGGGCCCATCTGCACCTTTTTTTGGCTAACACCGTCAACCTTGGCCCTACATTTCGTTGCACAAATGATTGCACATTTTTCTCTCGGCCTAAAAATTGTGACGGGTGCGCAACGTTGCTCACTGACGCTTGCCCGACGCCAGTCCCCGGCCGACTTTCTGGCTGCGGCGCAGCGCAAGGGCGACCCATGCACCACCCAAACCGGACGTCCGCGAAGCCCGCGGGGCCCGAGCCTTCTTCCGCGCATCCGTCCCCCGCTGAACGCGCACAGACCCGCGCCCCTAGCGCGGAACAACCAGTCGACGCGATCGGCGCCAGCTTAGCGGTGTCCCACTGCCCCGTCCTCACCTCCCGGCTCCTCGCTCCCGTGCCACGCCCTCTCCCACCTCTCCTTCACCGCCTCGTAATCTGGCGCCTTCGCCCGCCCCCGCATCTTTTCCTCCTGCGCAGTCCCGCCCCCGCCCTCCCCAGCCCTCTCCCCCTTGATAGGCGTCCCGGCGTCCGATGCCGAATCGCACGGCGGTTCGCCCGTGCCCCCGCACGCCAGGCCCCGCCTCTCCTCCCACTCTCCCAGCGACGCCAGGCCGGATGATCCGCTGGACGTCATTGACATGGCGCTGGAGGGCGCCCGGCCGCCGGCCCAGCTGCCGCTGCCGCCGCACGACTCCGAGGCATCGGACCCCGGTCCCGCCCCTCGGCTGGCCTCCCTGGCGATCCCGCCGGAACGGAACCCCGGCAGCGATTCCAGGCTGCTCTGCACATCCACCCCCAACTCCGAATGGGAATTTTGGCAACCCTTCTCCGCATCCGCCTTCCCACCATCCGTTCTGAACTGCTCTCGTCGCTGGACGGCATCGGGCCCGCGATTGCAGGCGCCCGCCGCCGGCGCCAGTCGCCACAGCCACAGCCGATCGGACAGCCGCCTGATGAAGCCCGGAGACGCACCGGTATGACAGGCAGTCTGCGTGATTGAGCCGCGACCGGTTGCGTGGATCGCCAGACCCCATCTGGCGTCCCACAGCGCCTCCAGCGACCGGTACCTGTCCTCTTCGATACCGCCCATGCCCGGAGGCCGCGCTTCCCGCCGCGGCGTCGACCGGTTCACCTCCATCGACCTGAAGCCTGGCAGCTCCAGCAGGGTGCATCTGGGCCGCGCGATCGGCTCGTCGACCAGGATTGCAGAATCCTCCTGCGTGTGGAACGGGGAGGGCAGCGTCTCCGCCATGCCCTCGCGCTGGGTCCCCGCCCCAGGGATCAGCGAGAGATAGGCTTGGTGGGGCGGCCTGGACCCCTCGGTGGGGTGCGGGGTGGGGTGGGGCGCCTCCCCTGGCCGCCACGCCTGTTCCTCCTCCGACAAAAGGCCGACACCCGAAGGTGTGATGGGCCCGCGCCAGCATGCGCTTCCTCAGCTTTACTCCCCCCCGGGCCCTAATCCCCGTCGACCGACGCTGTCGATTATCCGTACGGGATGTAGTGCCCCCGTCTCGCCCGCCTGCTAGTCGTCGGGAAAACCGGGGAGACTTGGAGGCTTCTGCGGTTGCCCCGCTTTCTGGCCTTTACCTTTTTGCTTTGGAAGGAGGCCGCAGGGGCGCATACCTCGCCACCTTCTGCGGGTGCCCGTCTTTTGGCCTTTAGCCTTGGAAGGAGGCCCCAGAAGCGCGTGCCTTGCCACCTTGTGTGGGCCCCGCTGTGGCTTTGGTTTAGGCTTTTAGCTCTGAAGGAGGTCCCAGCGGCGCATGGTTCGCCACCTGCTGGTCACGGGCGCCCCGGGGGTGGGCAAGTCGACGCTCGTGAGCGCTGTGGTGGACGGGCTGCGCGCCAGGCACGATCTGAGGGCGCTGGCGGGCGGCTTCGTCACGGAGGAGGTCCGCGGGCCTCGAGGCCGGACGGGATTCGACGTGATGACGCTGGCGGGCGAGCGGGGCGTGCTGGCGCGAGTTGCGAGGGGAGACCAGGTCGGAAACGAACAGTGGCGTGGGTAGTCTTCTGTTGCGGTGCCGATAGTTTTGCGAGTAGGGGAGCGTTGCTGATTGAATGGCGCTTGTTGGGTCGTTGGAGGCTTGTGTTTCAGGTTGGGGCATTGATAGGAGCGCCGATAACCTTGCTCAGTGTCCAGCGATTGACTTTTTACTTCAGGTGTGCCCTGCGACGATTGCTTTTCGGACCAGTGGAAATCCTCGCGATTGCCGCTGGCATCCTGCTTTTTAGTGGTCGGAGGTGATCCGCGACGTGCAGAGAAGAACGGATTGTTACGCACAGGGTGAGCTCTTGTGAAAGCTGACCCTTGGACGTTTTCGTGTCATTCAGGGAGGCCCGTTTGTTGGCAAATATGCTGTTGACGTGCCTTCATTTGAGAGGGTGGCTCTGCCGGCGCTGACGATCCGACCTGGCATCAAGCTCATGGTGGTTGACGAGATCGGTGAGGAGGGGCGTCTGACGCGTCGTTGACGCTTTTGCTCGCAAGAACGGCAATCTCCGAAGCGCATGGAAATACTGTAGCGGGTGAGCAGCTGTTGCGATGCCCAGATGCGCCCTTGGTAGCGGATCCGGGCTTGGAGCGCAACTCTGCTTTTGTGTGCAAAATAGAGCTGCAAAGCCATGGATTTCAACATTCCCTTTAGAGGCATAGGGGGAACTGAATATCAGGGAGTCCCCATCGACATGGACCCTTCCGGCCGAAGCAATCTCTCCCTGATGATGAATGACCAAGACTTGGTACACGGAATAGGCGTCTCGTGATCCACGCAGTCTTATCATCGCAGTGCCTCTCTGCAAGACAATGATCTCTGACTGTTTCATGCCATGACTGGTGGATTGTTTGTTTGCACTCCTGTGCTTAGGAAAGATGGAAGTTTTCTCAGGAAAGTTCTGCCGTGCAGTGGAGGCGGCGATGGACGGTGGGCCGCTTGTACTTGGGGTGGTTCCTCTGCCTGGGCGCCGCCCGGTTGTGTTGGTGGGTGCATTTTTGATTAAATGCAGATGTGAAGTGAGGGTCGAATCGCATATATTCAAGTTCAGTCCGCTTGTCAGCAATCACTTGGTGCAGGGAAATTTGCAGGTACTTGAGAGTTGGAATGATTGGCATTGCTCTTGAGCTGGAGGAAGTTGAGGTGTACCAGCAAATTTGCAAAATATCCATGAACTTGGTGACTCAAAAGCCCTGAGCGCTTGAGGGATTGGAGCTGCGATTTTTGTTGAATAGTAGTTTTATTGACTGCCATGAGAACTAAGGAATTTGCAAGCTCCCAAGGTTGCCCAAACAGAAGAATGCTGGAAAAGGAAGGGCTCCTGGTTGTGAAAGGAACGCCCCTTACATACAAGAGACAGCATTCCTTCAAATTGAAGTGAGGCCCTTTGCCTTGATGTTATCAGCATCATAGAAGATTTGGCTTGCAATGAAATACTTGGGTCTTTTCTACAGTTATCCCAACTCAATCCATCCCAGCTTATCACAGTACATTGCACGGACATGACAAAGTCAGAATACCAGCTGCCTTTTCACAACAACTGCAGTGTGTTAGCTGCGCATTCTTCTCCAACTGTACTCATAGCATCCAGTTGGCAAGCCCACTTAAGACATTAGGATAGGAAATCACTGGGTTCTGCTGTGTTGACCAATTGACGTTCTTGAGTGTAAATGTGCATCCAACCACGCTCTAGCCGAAACTGCGACTGGCATGTGACACAGGCCGAGGCCTTGAAGGCTCGTGAAGATGTGGATGTCTTCTGTTTGACACGACAAAACAGAGACGAAGCTGTCAGTCGTTTGTGCAGCAGGATCGCAGACCAACTGGACGAAATGTTGGCTGAGTAGAGCACCTATGTGCTGACGATTCATGAGAGCCTGCGGAAATGCTGGAGCCCCTGGTGAGTATCTGGAGAAGATCGCAATGGGCAACTGGCAGGAAACACACTACCGGCTGTTCCAGCAGGATCAACAACTTGCTATTGTGGACATTCCCGATATTGCCCCCAGCAGGAAAAAGAGCAGTGACTTGTCACATTCTGAGCTGCAGTAAATCTTGATTTGTGGTGTAAACCAGCATCCACTGCATTTGTACCATTTCTTGAATGTCTGGATGGTATGACAGGCCAGCGGCTCAAGGCCTTCTCTCCTGAGCACATCCTCCTTGGAGGAGGCTTGTGTTTTGGAGGTTAATGAACAAGGCCAACATGCTGTTGCCAAGGTGCCACATCGCAGCATTTCCAGCCTGTTCGACTGAGAGGATGTTTCAGCTGCCAGCACTTGTGTGTTGGCATTCATTGTAAAGGTGGCTGACTGCCGGCCTCCTTTCTGGAGATGGGCTTCAAAGCGCATCGTTTTTGCAGGTGTAATCTTTTGATTTCCCTTCAAGGTGCCCAAGAGAATGAAAGTCAAGGCTCCTGATGCACCACCTGTAGTTGCACTGGGACTGTCCATGATGCAGCGGATTGGTGCACTGTTTTCTAGGCACTGGATGTTTGCAACCGGAGCGCAACTATGCACCCATCCCAGAATTGTGTTGTCACAATGAGTTTTCACAACTTGCAGCTGGTCAGACTGGCCATCCATCCGAATGAACTCCTTTCAAGAAATCTGATTTATCGGAATGCGTTCAATTGGCCAAGTGCAGGCTGCACTTGTCTGTCATATCTCTCTCCACTGGATAGTCCAAATATCTGCCGTGGTGCATTGCCCTCCGCTGCTTGTGCCCATTGTGTGGCGCTTCAGCTGGTAGGAATTTAAAGAGGTGAACTCTGCAATAAACAGCCCTGGCATAGAATGCATAAACAGCACAGCTGCCCTCGCCCCAGGACCGCCAGGAGTAGGCGTTACCTGGCGTCCGAGTCAAGAATGAAATGTGTGTGAAAGGGCGCACTGAGGCGCTGTGTCCGGCAAACAGCACTGGAAATGCTACACTACGCTGCCTTTCCTGAAGGTGTGCTTGGTACTTGAGGCCTTCGGGCGTCGTTGCAGCAGGCTGCACTGGGCAGACGCTTCAGTTTTGACCAGCAGTCTATGATGTTTCAGCGGTAAGTCTGTGTCTCCCTTGATCCTCCGATATGACTACGCTGGCGCGGTCTGCACTCAGACAGTGACTTTGCCGAAACATTGGAGTTGTGAATTTCTCACTAACCCAGAAAAGTGCTGACGAAAACCAACACTGTTCGGCAGCTTTTGTTCTGGAGTTACCTGCATTATAAGGCCGCTGATTCGAGGCCTTTCTAAGACAAGTTGATTCTCTGCTCTCCCATATGGGTGCGCCGCCCCACCCCCTGGACAGAAAATCCTTGTCGTTGCGTAACCAGAAGTACTTCGGGCGGTTCGGTGGAGAACGGTAACAAAAGTCACCGGGAAACACATGTTGTGCATTCTGAGTCTTTTCCCTACCTCTCCCGACAGGTGAAAGGGCATCGCGCTGACACAGGAGCATAGTAGGTTAGAACGGAGGTCAGGTTTGGGAAGGCACTTTGTCGAAAGTGGCACGCTTAGCGTCAATTTGACGCAAAGGTGTGTGTATGGATGGGTGGGTGGGTGGGTGGGGGGGCACCCCGTGACGCTAAAAGATTATGTAATTGGCACAATTTCGGCATAATGTTTGGAGATACACAAAACGTCTTTGATCCAAGGCAGACGGCTCGTGACTTGTTCCAAAAAACCCTCAAGCGTTCAAATTCAAACGCAGAACCCAGAGTACCCCTAACAGACAGCCATCGGGGCTCCCCCAAACAACTGAAATGGCATTCATCATACGTTTGTCATCGTATTACGATTGCTACAATTTGGCCGTGTATGTTCCTTAAAAGCACCTTGAAATTGTCTAGCTCTGTCATATAAGGTTGCTGAGTCATCCTGGCATCGGCACAAGGATTGACGCTAAGGAGGGGGGGTGGGGGGTGGAGGGTTTACGGCTTAACGTCAAATTGTCGCTATGCATACAAAATGCGACATAGTCTCTCCCCTTAGCAGAAAACCTAGAATCGCGTGCAGCGGCGCAGTCTGACAGTCCACCTCCTTGCAAGGACGCTTCTTCAATGTGAAGGCGTGGGCAGTTTCCTCCAGGAAATTGGGTCTGGTAGCTTCTGGATTTTGTTGTTGCAATACTTAAAATGCAATGGAAGAGTCATGGACAATGCTTCCCCAGGGCAGAATGGGAGCTGCAAGCTGCCTCGTTGCCTTGGCACGCTTGTGGAGTGTCAAGCCAATGCATGGCATTGAACAAACAACACAACAGTATTGTTTCTAAGCGCGTGCCCATACCAAGTCGGGATCTTCCCGGGGCCGCCGACATCATCGCACCCACCACCACGGAGAGCGGCACCCTAGCGCCATTGTACTCAAGAATGCCCTTTCAATAATTGCTCCAATTGGGCGACCCCCAGCGCCCATGCCAGAAACTCCCGACCTGGCCAGATACTCCCTGCCCTCGTAACGGCTCCCAACCCCGGGGCCCCGGCCGCAGGGCAGGCGCCACGCCCGCGACGCATAAAGAGCGCGCCCCTCGCCCCCAGGGCGCCCCTCGGTCAGGCCAGGCCGCCTCCCGACCCCTCGGGGCTGCCTGGGAGCCCACGGATCGGCGGGTCTGAATCCAACGGGTCTGGATTGGCTGCTGCAATCGCGCGACGCCCTTTGTTGCCTGGGTTCAGCCTTGCCAGGTGCGTCGAGGCGCGAGGGGATTGCACTCGATGGGAATGGCGGAGCGTGGCGTTGGGTCGGGGAGGCGGGGAGTCGGCAACTCTTCGCGGGGGAAGGAAATGCGGGGATCTGGAATCGTACGGCGACGGATCGGGCGCTCTGTTGCGGTTGGCATCCTGGGGACGTCGGGGCGGGAAAGCCTCTGCGGACGATGGGCACCAGCGCGCGCTCCTGGCTTGTCTGTCGATTCTGTTTTCCTGTGTTGATGTTGTTCAATCGGCAGTCGTGCGTGGAAAGGCCGATTGTTCGTGTCCCATTCCGTGGGTCGACCTGGGGCGACGTCCCGCGCAACGACCGCGGGAAGGCGGCGGCGATGAGGGACGGGCCCGGATCGAAGCTCCGCTGGTTGCGGCGATCTGGAAACGATCGTTCGAATCTGGGCCTGTGGCCAGCCCGGCTAGAAACTCGGAACGCTGCTCGACGGATCGCAAGAACGCGACGGGATTGTATCTGTATTCGTGCAGCGCCTGTGGGCGCGTGCGCACACAGACCACCGGTCGGTATGATTGACGTTGGATCGTGCCGACGCTTTTCTACTGTGTTGCAGTGTCGATCAACTGATCGGCCGTGGACAAAGATGCCCGCCCTGGACGGCAGCGGGGTGGGCGTCTGCAGGCCTGCATTCGGGCAGTCCCCATCGCCCGCGATGCTGCCCTCCGAGCAGGAGCTGATGGACACGATGTGCTCCCTGCGGCCGGCAGGCCAGAGCCCGAGGATCGACGAGCAGGTGCCCGAGCCACCTCGCCGCCCCGATCATTCTGGAGCACTCTGGGCACCCGGCTACGTCCACGACGTCCCATCCAAACCCGGCAGGTCCAAATCATCCGCCTCAGCCGCGCTTGCCCCCCCAGGCGACCCTCTGATCAATCGGGGGCCGCGCGGGATCCACGCCGGCAAGCCGGAGGGCCTGAGGGAGTGTCAGAGCCAGCAAAATGCGATCGCCACTGCGCGGGGCAGGCACTTCGCCACCGGGAAGTTTGAACGCAGCGTGGATCAGATTCTGGGCAGCGAGGACGACCAGGCGTTCTCAGTGCCGGCCTACCGGCCGCAGCGCGAGGGCGGCGACTGTAGGGCGGACGGGGCGCTGGCGTGGCCGGAGGAGAGGATGCGGGAAGTGGGGTGGTGGGCGGAGGAGGCGGGGGAGTCGGCCGGGGGATCGGGCGCGAAGGCGGAGCGTCTCGGCAGGACGGCGGGCTACGACGGGCACTGGAACCTGGCGGTCTCAGGTGGGGCACCGGGAGTTGGGCGGCGGCAAGATTGGCTGCATTTCGAAAGAGAAACGGGCCGTGCGCAGGGCACCCCCCTCCAGAGCGAGTGTGCGTGAGATTCTCTTCCGTGCTGTACTGAGTTGATGCGGAGTCCCCGGTGGTCTGTGCTGCGAAAGGGTGGTGTAGAGTCTCGGTTGGGCGGGCGGTGCGCACGCGTTGGCGGCGATGTGGAAAATTCGGCGATCAGAGGCGGTGACACGAGCGGAGGCAGCGCCTGTGTTTAGAGCTCCGGAGGGGTTGGGTGGCCTGGTTTATGCTGTTGACATCAAAACGTCCGCGTCCGCTGCACTTCCCGCGCCCTCGATGGCCGGCAGAGCGCAACGTCGTCGGTAATCACCAGGCTTGGCGACTCGCCTGGTTTGCCGTTCGGCCGTGTTCTGTGCCGCTGTTCCTGTTGATACTTAGCGTGCCAAGTAGGAAGGCCTGAGGAACGCACCTGTCTGCAAGAGCATTGTGGCTTCCTGCTTGCTGCTGCATCAACAACTCCTTTCTTATGCCTGTCTCTAGCCAGTCCGCTCGCTGCCCCAGAACATTATTCAGATGTCTGGGTTTGCAAGGGCGTAATACCCTGTATACGCAGTGTTTTCGATTTCAACATCAAGTTCTGCGTTTGATTTCAAATTGGAATTCAGTGATTTTCAATATTCAGTTCTGTGTTATCTCTGATTTAACATGGATACGTAACTGGTGGAAATATATCTTGTTGCATTCCTGTAGAGAGGAGTGGCATGCATAAAAGCAACCGCGTCCTTGATTGTGTTCTGGCCTGCCTGTTCACGGTGCGCCAGAAGTGCAAGGGTTTGCATTTAGACGAGCAACTATACTGTTTTCTGGAAGCTACGTGTGTGCTTTCACCTGCCAACATGCGGA